TTGCCACATAATTGTGGCATAAGCTTAACACTGGGAGAAACTGAGTAATTTCAGTGTTTCTGAACAGATTATCAGAAAGTCAGCAAAAACCTCAGAATCCACTTCTGTAAGTGACTGGACTTACAAATACATGATTTCCACATAAATGTCACCTACTAAGAAAGCTTTGCAGACTCAGAAGTAAAAAAACAGAAATATGAGATGAAAGTGCTTAAAACACCAAAGTATTCCAAGTTCCTTTTCCAGTAAGGGTTTAAGATCTGACTTCCAGCTTTTAAATGAGGTCCCACAGTCTGTAGGACCCCACAGATGGGGTAAACTCCTTTTGCAAATTTTTAACAGTATTAATAGAAAAAATAAGTAAAAAAAGACAAATCATTTTAGAAATGGCTGATAATGAATAGCTGTGAGCAAAATTTTATATTACATCAGAAATTTGCAATATTATTAGTAGTTTACCTTCATAGAGTACCCATCAAATCTAACCATTACAGTCTAACAACCTACGATACAGCTCATAATTTTGGCCTAGGAGTTTTTCAATACCTCTATCACAGTATGATAAGTTTATTAAGTGACACGGAAGCATACACATCAGCTGCAAAATAACCCTGTAAGTTACAATGCCTGTAGTAGTGCTGAGGACAGTCTAGTTTTACGCTGTAAGAACAACAGTGAGATTATAAGTACCAGGAATTTGTTTTAAGAAGCCTGTGTTAAGACATGGTTTAAAAAGCTGGTGCTGTTCCAAATCAGTAAGAATAAGATGCCATTCCTTTGATCACTCTAGCCAAATCTAATCATGATCAGACCAAATGCATGTGATTAAAATACCTATTTAGCAATTGAGATCTGACAGAAAAGGGCAGCAGTTTCCTTTGAAACTAGAACAAAATAAATGGCTTCCAGAAGTGAGGAAGCAAGATCGTTTCCGCCGGCTGTATCACACATTCTACTGCAAGACTGCTCTCACCTCAGACCTCTCTTACAAAGACCACAACTCGCAGCATCCCACCCAAACTGCAGGCAACTGTGGAAAACTGCGTTAAGCTTTGTGGAAGCTATGCAAATTGCTGTTGAGATGTAAAAAGGGAACAACGCAAAAGTTGTACTTAGAGAAGAATACGACAAACATGAACAAGTATCAAGAACTGCACACAATAGTTACTCTAAGCTTCAGCATGGCAAACTTAATGAAACATTACTCAAAATACCAGCTTAAAAATTACATTGTCCACCTCCTTTGTAGATAGATGTTGAAGAAAGTAAACATTAACACAGCAGGTAACTTGTTCAGAGACCAAACTTACTCAGAGTCTCACCATAATACACAGGAGAAAGTGCAAGCAGTAGCCCTGCCTTCTGCCAAAACACACAGAGATTTCTGTTCCACTAACCACAACTTTTTCTATTTACACGTTACTACACTCAATTTCTCAGAGCTGATCACAACCTCCTCTTGTTTTTCTGTGACCACACACATTTCTCAAACACTCTGGTATTCCTCTACAACCTACAATCGTATATACCATGCCCTGCTACAGTGTGTCACTTTATGCCTTTCAAAACAAGCACAATCATTAGCTCCAATTAATCTGTTAAAGTGTATACTGCTTCACACAACATTGAATATTCTACTATTAGTTGGAACTAAAGTCACATTACATATGCAATTCCTTTCTCCCAAACTGACAAAGTCCTAACCACGTTTTCCAAGGCCCCCTTCTAGTTCTGCAGCTTAATCTGAGTTGATATATTCGTATTTCCCTTCCACTATTGCATAAAAACCCCCACGTTTTTTAAAACGGAAAGTGGCAGACTACTGGTAATGAAAGTTAAACTGTGTAAACACGTTAGAGAAACACACGGTTAAAATGGATACTTTCAATTAGAGAGAAGAACTGACTGCTCTCCAATTAAAGTAATCCAGATCATCAAGATTAATGAAGTCTCAAACTGCACACAGAGTAAAACTGAGGTTTGAAAAAGAAAACATACAGTCTTACTACAGTAAGTTTATTAATGGATTTTTCTTAGAGGAAGAGTAAAGTAACCTAAGCTGCTGTGCTTGCAAAGCTTCCTCAGTTGTCACCATACCCCTGGAAAGACACATAACCCCGAAGCCACGGGGTACGCTACCGACCGCCTGCGACACACAGAGTTAATCCCAGCATGCACAGATGTGCAACAGTGAAAAACAGGGTCCGCCGAGTCGGGAGCCACACTTCACATCGCGTGTGCCTTCGTTACACGGGTCAGAGGCAAACCTGGCGGCGCCCTCAGAGGCCCGCGGCGTTCCACCCCGGAGGGGCTGCCCCTCCACGGCCACCTGCAGCCACCACCGCCGCGCTGCCCGTCAGGCACCCTCAGGCCGCCGGGGCGCCCAGACCTCCGGCACCGAGCCCGCCGCTGGGGAGTTCCGTGGGGTGATGCCGACACAGCAGAGCCAAACTTTGCCTCTTCTCCCGGGAGAGCGCTGGGGGCGAACCGGAGCTGTTCCCACCTTACCCCTGTCAACAGATGCTCTGTCTCCCCACTCCGCGGAGTAAACTAGCCCGGCCCGAGGCCCCTACCTCGGTAACGCATTAGAGGCAACAACCCCCAGACAGACACGACGGGCGAAACCACGTCTGAGTACCGACAGCGCTCGGCAACCCGCGGCCATATAGGACAGACCTCCCCGCCAGCGGCGGAGGGCGCGGGAACTCGGGGCACGATGACAGCCTTCGCTCCGACCGAGCTCCGCGGAGAGTGAGGCCCACCCAGAGCATCGCCGCCGCTCCTCCCAGCCCGGCCCGGCTCTCCCGCAGCCCGGCCCTCACCTCCTTGACAGGGGGGAATTTTTTCCGGCACTCCAGACTGAGGCCCCGCAGGTCTCCCTGCATGTTTTCCAGCAGCTTCTTCACGGCTCCGGGGCTGCTGGTCCCGGACATGGCGCCAGCGGGCCGGCCCCAGGCCGGGCGCTGTTTCGAGCGGGCAGTAGCAGCGCTTCTCGCTCCACGGCCCCGGCCGACACGTCTGCACCCGACACCGGAACCCGTTAGCCAAGGCTCCGGCCCCTTCCCCTACCCCACGCCGCCGCCGCGGCCCCCCCTGCTCCCACAATGCCGCGCGCCGCCAGCTCTGCGCTCAGGCCGCTTCCGCACACACTGCCCGGGGGCGGGGAGAGCAATGGCAACGGGGCCGGGGACGGGTCAGGCCTCCCGGGCCTGCGCTGCGCCCTAGATGGGGGCCGTGCCTGTTCCCCGCTGTGCCGCTGACACTGCCCTGGACCTGCGGGAAGAGGCGGGGGGGTGTACGGGCCCGGGCAGAAGGGAGCGCTCAACGCCGGCGGGGAGGGGAGGGGAGGGGACGGGAGGGGACGGGACGGGACGGGACGGGACGGGACGGGACGGGCCGAGCCGAGCCGAGCCGAACCGAACCGAACCGAACCGAACCGATCCGCACCGCAGAGTGGGGATGAAGGCTCTCGGCCTCGCTGCCTGTCGTTTGCGGCTGTGGGAGGCCGTTCCCGCCGAGTGTGACTCTCGGGGGAGGTCGGCGCTGAGCAGGGCAGACAGCTAGGGGTTCCTTGGGAACGGTGAAGTTCTTGCTTGCTTTGTGCCTTTCGCAAGTTGCGTCCGTACGCAGCCGGTTTTGGTTCTCTCTAGGAGAAGCCAGTGAACCTTTCTCGAGAAGATAAACGCAGGCAGGGCAACAACAAAAGGACAGTCGGGTCCCGGGTAGCTTCCTTGTGAGCGGCAGCATCCCTCTGAAATCCAGAAGCTTTCCCACCAGCTGGTTTTAACCCGTTTCAAAAGCGGGCACCCAAACAGCAAGCATGAACTCTTTGACCGCTATCTATCCCCTGTAGTAATGCTGCTCCCTCTAACTTTGGACGCAGCGAAGGCTGCCTGGGAGTTTCCTTCTGAAGGGCACCTTTCATCACTGAACAGTTACCATTATTTCACAAAGGTTTGGGTCTCTGCAATAATTACTTTTCCATATTCTGGTTGATGTGAATCCAGTACGGTGGTGGCTGGCTGTCTGGAATGCAGCACAGCTCTGTTGCCCTTCCATAAACCCGTGGAGTTGGAAAACATTCTTGTGTTTTTACAGTCTATAGTTTCTAAACTTGGGAATCTTGGGGAAAAAAATACAGCAAATCAGAATGGAGAATTTTTACTCCCTTACTATCTAAAAATCAAATAAATAATGGCATTTCCTTAGACCTTCCTGAAAGTCTGAAGGTTTAGAGAATATTAAAAAAAATATTTTGTCATCTAATGAAAAAGGGAAAATAACCTCTGATAAATTTAAGCATCCCTGCTTCTATGTTTGGGTTCATTTACTGTGAGATACATTGCAAGTCATGCAGTAAACAGGCTCCTGTTGGCCCAGCATTGTGCGAGGTAGGCATACGTCTTTAGGTGTGTGCGCTACAAGGCAGGGTTGCTTTATAAGTAATACCTAACTTAACTATTTTTACATTATTTTCAAATTACTGGCCATTAACTTGACAGAAGTGGATGAATGGATGTGAGTGTTTGAAACGGCATGTAACACTGGCAGAACTGAACGAGGTGGTCAAACTTTATGTGCCCTCAGACAAGGAGCTAAGATTTCAGCCCTGTGTTAAGTAAAATGGAACCCATGATTCTGTAACATTATTATGCTTTCACAGAACCACAGAATGGTTGGGGTTGGAATAGACCTCTGGGGACCATCTAGTCCACCCCCCCCCCCCGCCAAGGCAGGGCCACCAAAAGCAGGTTACCCAGGAGCATGTCCTGACAGGTTTTGAATGTCTCCAGCAGGAGACTCCACAACCCCCTGGGCAGCCTGTTCCAGTGCTCTGTCACCCTCAATGTAAAGGAGTTCTTCCTCATACTTAAGTTGGACGAAGCCTTGGGTGACATGGTTTAGCATGAGGTGTCCCTGCCCATGGCAAGGGGGTTGGAACTAGATGATCTCAAGGTCCTTTCCAACCCTGACTGTTCTATCATTCTATGATTCTATCTATGTGCTTAACCAATAAGCATTTTCCTAAGGATTTTCCTGTCTAAACACTTCCATTCTGGGCTTCAATCCTGAGGGCAATGCACAAACGAGTCCCAACTCCTTCCCAGGAAACACAGATAATTTGATAGGAGAATGAGTCAATTAATTATTGACTATGTATAGGTATTTCTTAGGTAGTATTTCTTAATGATTTACTTCCCTCTTGTTGTTTGGACTTTTCCACCTACGCACACTACATGTTGACCTATGAGCATAGATGGGTACTCCTGGAATCTGCTTGCCTGCCTAAACTCAAGCAATTGAAATTTGTGACATGAAGGTCAGTAAGCTGTTCTGTAACACTGCCTTTCTTAGGAAACGGGAGCGGCAGGTATTTTGGGTGGAATTTGGCTGGATGTGACATCTTGAGTTAAAGCATCCCACTAGACATTATTATCCCTGTAATCAAAATGAGGAAGATGAGGGAAGCTGTCATATGGCTACATTTCCCACTTAGCAATGGTGAGACAAGTAAGAAGAATTGAGATCACATTCTAAAGAAACAAATTAGTATGTATTAGATACATATTCGTAAGTATGTGCTTACTAATTTCCTGCACATTTTACTGTTTTGTTTAACCAGACAAGACTACTGTATGCATTCAGTTTGGGTGGGAGGGCCACTCTTACATTGTGAGTGCCTGGTAAGTTAACTTATGTGAAAGATAGATGATGTTTTCTTTAATCAGTTTATCATACATGTCTTTTCAACTACCAGCTTTGACACTTAGTCTGCTCAGCATTGCCAGTCAAATACAGTGGAATTGCTCCTGGTTTTGGAAATGAATCATACGAGTTTGCAGGATTGAAAACTCCTTTAGATCTGCTGACTACAAGAGCTGAGAACTATACAAGTGCCTGTATTCCATGCACTTCTCTTAAACACAAGATAATCTTTCTCGCTGTTTTGATGTATACTTTTTGTAAATGCAGAAGATTCATTAGTTAAACTAAACTAGAGCATTCAAAGTATTTAAACTAGCCAGGATCCTTTTAAGTGACCCTAATTTGATTGTGAATATGTTCTACTGTAGTTGCATTTAATGGCAGTAGATACTACTACTTGTATTCCTAACCCTGAGTGGAAGTGCTTGCCTGTCTTTTGGTATGTTTTAAATGCTTCAGTTTCAATTCAAGTTGCTTTTGAGTTAGAGCAGCATATATGGGCATCTCTGAGGGCATGGTTTTGACTAGCAAGCTGAAAATGCTAGTTAGCTGTTAAGCTAACTTTGTATTGCGCTGCCATTATTATATTCTTGTTTACTTTGTTATTAAATTATCTGTAATTTTGTGATGGGCAGTGGGTGATTGAAATCATTCCCTGTACCTTTATGACCCTAATTACCAACAAAAATGCTCAGGAGACCTATTGTGTTTCATTAAATTACCTCTTGGAGCCAGTGTTCATGTTCATTCCAAATGATGTGCATCAGTCCTTCTGATCAATTAAACAAGGGATAGCACTTGGCTGTATTAATTTTAGGTGTTTAGTCCCAGTTATAGTCTAGGAGACAGAGATGTTTGCAGATGCTGGCTCTGAATATGAGAACAGGGTTACGTTGCCACATTATGCAGAGGCAAAGCTGTCAGATTTCACTGTGGAAATGAATTGGTTTGTGATGATGGGACAAATTGAGGCTTTTCCTCTGAGTTCACTTTGCCAACTCTCCTGTATGTTTTTGTAACTGATATGAATCTAGACATAGTAGTAAACAAACTTCAGCATATGAAATGCCATCAATTGTGTGGTCAAGTAAAGGTGTTTGCAGACTCTTTGTTGGTTTTTTTGTACTGTGAAGAGTCATGATGGGGAAAATGTTGTCCCACAGTAGACGGAACATAGATTTTGATATCAAAAGGCAAAGCTGAATTTCATATTAAAAGAGCGTGAGAGATGGGTTAATACCAGATGCTTCCTGTAGTCCTTTATGAAAACTTATTCACTGTATTGGTCTGTGTAAGCACAAAGACACCCTACACACATACTTTACAATGTGAACACTTCAAAAGCTCCTTATATTATGGACACAAGAAATGGGGCAAGAGAGTATTTTTGTTGTGGCCATAAACAGGTTAAAAGCAGAAGTAATAACCTTCCCTCTAGTACCTGGTTGGTTGTTTTGGGTTTTTTTATGGAGTAAAAATGAAGCCCTTGTTACTTTAGGATGTGACTGTATGAGGAAGTTAGATCTACCATCAGATTGAAAACTATTTTCCAGCATGAACTCCTTGTGAATTCAGCCTGTGTTCCTTCCTGCATATATGTGAGCATATATTTACATGTTAGTACATACTTTGTTTGTATGTTTGCAGTTAATACACATTTCATGTTTAGTCAACTAAAAAAGCAACCGCAGATACTGTCTGTCAGTGAATCATCCTCTTTGTCATTAGCAAACTATCTGTAATTATGTCACATTATCTTTAATATAACTGGCAAAAATGTTAAGTAGCAGTGGCCAAAATGTCAGACCTATGACGTGTTAGATACTCAGCAGTGATTCCCTATTGAGTTACAGTACAATCATTTCTACACACAAATCTCTCAAACAGAGGCTTAGGTGCTTCCATGACTCCTGTGTAACCAGCCAGTGAAGCTGTTTTTCCACTTTTCCCTGCTTGGATCTTGTCCAGATGGGTTCTCAAAGCAGTGGTTTGCTTGGGGTTTGTTTGGGTGTTGTTTTGCATTGCCCATTCGAGTACTGGTAATTGAATCAGCTGAACCTGTTAACATCTTTTCTGAGAAAGAACTGCTGTCCACTGCTTGAATTAATTTATCACTGCCTTAGAGCTAGCAGTGTAACAACAGACAGATACATGATATTCACAACATCTCAGCAGCTCCCTTACCCTTCATACTCACAACTGAGCATGAGTCAGGACAGATTAAATAACTTTTCCAGCTCACAGAGGAAGTATGTGTCTGGCCTGGGGAACAAACCTTACTCTGTGCATTAAACTGAATCCGTCTTTCATTCCCCTTCACAATAAATAGTATTTATTAGATAATGGAATGATTATCCATTCAGGCAGCACCTGTGATTTTTCCTGGCGTGGTATGTAACACAGTCCACTCATGATAGTTTCTTTTTTATGCCAAACATAGAAAATAGAGAAACCATGACGGATATTTTACTTGACAGTTGTTTACATTGAAAAACCCCATGCAGCCCACTGCTGCTACCATCTTAACAATGAGCACAGTGTGAGGTCATCCTCAGTGGGTGAGGGATCTTGCACTTCTGATCGGAGTTCCCTGCAATCTTAATGTCCGTTATTAGGAATTTTTGTTTAGAAATAAGGCATAGATGTGTGGAAGTGAAATACTTGTTATTTGATGGAGAGCTCTTGCAGTGGACATCTGCACTCTCCAGAGAGGTCTTTTCCTAAGACTCTCATTTTAGGTGCAGGATGCGTAATGTAAAAGTGCCTGTCAGGAATGTCAGAAGTACACACTGTGCTGCAGTCTGGTTATTTTGCTGTTCTCTCATCTATTTGCCAAAACCCTATGTCTTTTTAATATTTTCCTTTTTATCTCTTCTTCAGCTTGTATGTAAATTATGGAAATATTTCCAGAGACTTGGTAACCTGCAGTTAATCTACTGATCACCAAGCAACACCAGGGGGAGAAGGGCGTTCCTCTGTGTGAAAATACATTTTGGCTGCTGCAGCAAAGAGGAGAAGCCACTGGATGCTTTCTTTAAGCTTTGGTGAATCCTTCAAGATAATGGTTCCAGACTGCAGCCTCGAGGCTGCAGAGTGATCACATTATTGCAGGAGAGTTTCCATCTACTGGATGGATGTTAGGTCCTTTGCATTAGGGGTGGTACACAGCAAGCATTGCTGTCATAGCTATAAAATGAAGAAAATAATTAGAAAAATAGATACATTTGCTATACTCACACAAGTAGCATGAAGCCCAGTGTATTAGATAGATATTCTTTTCTCACACTGCCACTGCTGCACTGCTGGCATGACCAACCTAATCTGTAGCTAACTCACACCAGCACAGGGAAGACTTAGTATGGCCACGTCCTTCTGAGAGCCTCCAGCACAGCTGTTCCCAAAGATAACTGAAGTGTGACCATGACTTTATTTTACAGGCAGTTCTTTCTATAAACCATAAGGAGTAGTGATTTCTTATGGGAGACATCCTTGTGAAGAGCTGTTTGATACAGAGGCCTTAGTTTACCTTATACATTGTGCTTATCTTTTCTGCTTTATGAAGAATTTGTTCAGAGTACTTTGCCCTTGGTGTAAATATTTATATGGCTGCATGTGTGGCTGTGTTCATAAGCAGCAGTCTGAAGGAAGTTTTGTTACTGAGGTTGAGTCAAAGCAGGTAAACAGAATCAACATGCTCCTCAGGGAATTTGGAACACAGCGAAAGAAATCCAGCTGTAAAGAGCCAAGTGCTTTCCTTTGTAGTAAAATTACTATACAGATCATCTCCACATGCGAGTATGTATTCTCAGTAAAGCAGGGCTATACCACAGCCTATGTTCTGGGTCATGTGCAAGAAAGTATGTCCATATCAAAGGATGAACACCTGTGTGAATTTCATAGATAACAGTGGCATAGTTAATACAGCATTTCTAGAAGTTGTATTCCGTATTTCACAAGTGGGAGCCCCTTTCTGGAACACACTCCCAGGGCACAGTAAATGAGCTTCTTTGTCCCCTCTTACCCAGGGCATTGGTGTGCTCTTGGCTGGCTGCTGGCTGGAGCACAGGAAATTCCAGGTCTGAACATTCACTGCTCCAGCTGAGAGCCAGGACCTGGAGCCACCGAATGGATCATTAAATGGAATGCAAAACTTGTTGAGCCAGTCTGAGACCTTACTTCCCTTTGGGAGCATGGTGATCAGTAGATTCCTATGGCTGTTTATTTCTAGGGGCCTCACTTGCTTCTACCAGTCTTAACTAGCAAAACCATGCCATGATCTAAGATTTGTTAAACAATTTAGTTATAAAATTAGCCATTAACATGTGCCAAGTATTGACAAATTCTTTAGCAGATGGGTTTGCTCCTTACCAGCTCGCCACACTTTTGTATGGAGGACACAAATGTCTGGTGGGCTTCAGTGTCTTACTTTATTGGAGGCAAGATCATAGAAGGCAAGGATCAGCCTTTCCAAAGAGTTACAGCAGGGTTTCAAAGAACTTTGGCACCCAATTGTTTTTCCCCTTCAGGACATTCAGAGCCTTCCTCTAACACAGGTCCTACTCTCAAGACATTATCCAATACTTGGACACAGAAACTGCAGTTGTCTAGATAATGACTAGGTGAGGACTCATGTTAAACATAGTTTGGTTCTCCTATTACTTATTTCAGAATGTCTTCATAATGAGCTGGAATCACCTCTAGATTGTTCCCTTTCTAGTGGTTTTCTGTATCTTTCAGTAAGAAGTTAAATCCATTGCTAGGAACCAAATTGCTTTCTTTTCTTTCCCTACAAGGCAACCCACATCTATCAAGGACTGCAATTCTCAGTCGCCTGTTAGTGACTTTTGCAGTATTTGCTTTTCTTTCTAATCATAGCACTCTGCTTTTCTTAGAATGTATTTGAAGTCCTCTACTATCTCCTTAGTAGCATTCTACAGCTACTTTCTCATTCCATTTGTCTTTTCTACTCATGCAATATAGGCTTTTCCATACACCTGCTCTTGTCTTGGTTGTGATTCATTGTTTTTACGTACAATCACAGTTCTGCACAATATCTTCCTCTCTGCCATGAGTAGTTCTGCTCTTGTCTCCTACTGGTGTGAAGTCCCATTGGATTACTCGATACATCTGTTCTGGAATGGAGTATAGAAATTTCAGTCTGGTTTGTTTCCTTCTATTTTTAACTGCACATTTGTTCACAGAAGTTTTGGGAAGCTTTTCTATTGGTTAAATAAATTAAGGTTTGTGTGGGCTTTTGATTTCAAGAAAGGAATATCATGTCTGTCAAATTCTAATATTGTCAAATACTGCTGGGAAAGCAGGGACAGTATAATCCATCACACTTGATTCTATGGCGGCAATTCACATCATAAAAATGAGCTTTTCTACATGATAATCTCAGACTGAGCCTAATGTTAACCAGAAATCCAGTAATTATAGAGGATAACCAAATTCTTCCCATAGTAAGTAGTTCTACAAAATTTATCTCTTCATCTTTGCCACCTTATCTGATAAATATTACAGAAATGCCTAAGGTTACATTCCTGAAGATAACTCTAAAGGCATTATTCCCTATCTAATTTATTCCAGTTGTGTAAAAATAAGTTAATTCAATGATTCTGGATATTTTATGAAGAAGGTTCTATTATGTCCATCCCATCGGTGGGTAGTGATTATTGGGTATTATAGGCATCTATTCAGAAATCTGAAATGCTTGTATTATACTTGATCAAAACATTTCTGATTACTGTATTGCCCAACTGTAGTTCATTAATCTAAAATGTTCACAGCAATCTTTTATTAATTGAGAACTTGGAAAACAAAAGAATTTTAGTATATGAATGTTTTTATTTTACAGTGAAACCAAAACCCATTCACACAGTGTGAGAGGCCAGAATCTCATTGGTGGAAGAAAGTTCTTTAAGGTAAGCTGTGAAGATCAAACTGCTGTGATTGATAGTCCTAGTCTACTTGTTGAAATTGGGTCCAAATCTAGGTCTCAGCTTTACAAGTTGTGTTTAGGATCCACGTCACACATGGCAAAGTTATTCAGGACATCAGTCTTACCGTAAATGGGTTATTTAGACACTGCATTTAATTCATTGAGCAGCTATTAGGTAATGCAGAGTTAGTCAACATGACTAATATGTTTGATTTGGCAAAAGCAATGCTGTATAACTTTTATTGACCTGTTGACTTGCAACTGAATTATATTAGGGTTTATGAAAGCTGTTGTTTCCCCATTGGAATAGGGGGAACAGAACTCAAATAGAATCCAAGTTACCTTTTCCTCTTGTGCAGCAAATTGACCAAGGAAACCAGTCCTATATGAGCAGTCCTAAACAGTGTATTTTGTATCACTGAGAAGCACATCTGAGTTGGCAGATGTTCTTTGTATCTGATAGATGATACGTAGTAATTACTCTCCCTTCTGTTTGCAGACTTTCTCCTCAGCTGAGACACACATCTACACAACACCCACAGCACAGTGTGTGTCTTACAACACTGACAGATGTTGAAAACGAGCATAGCTCATCTGAATTCTTTTCAGATGCCCTTTGCTGCATTCTGGAAGATGCCTTGGTGCACTATGTGCAGGTTTGAATTGTCATGTGTGAGGAGCCATGCATTTTCAACAGGAGCATGTGTGAACCTTAACAGAAGCACTGTGCTTTAACAGAAATTGTCATGGAAAAGCAGGGTGCTCTTCCAGCATCACAACAGACGGAAAAGGGAGATGCGTGCTTCAGTTTAGGAGGTAACTGGCAGGGAGAAGAATTACTTTAAGGAAATGACAAATCCAAGAGGTCATGCAGCTGGGGTTTGGAACAGCTTCCTGAGTTCAGATTAGTACAAATGGTGCAGTGTTTTCTACCCTGAAACGAGAGCATGGGGTTTAGTCCTATAATAATGAATTCTTGTAACACTAACGAGTGAAGGCCTTCCTCAAACCAGAGCAAATACAGATTCAGGCCTTCATTCAAAACTTTTAAAGTGATTTTTAAGTGGTGCCCTTAGGCCTGAAGAGGAAGGAACATTCCTCTGGCAGAACAGAGTATTGAGGGACTCACAGATCTCAAAGCCCAGGCAGATGGCTCAGACTAAGCCTCCATCCCAGCCGGGGAAGGGTTATTGTCTCGGCTGCCTCCCTCCTTAGCCCAGGCAAGGCATGCACCCAGTTAACATCGCACCCATCACCTACTCTGCTCCTTGTTCTGCTTGTTCCTACGTCTTGTTAGAAAGTAGTTGCATAAAAGGCTCCCACACTGATCTCAACTCAGATTGTCCAGTTTCAGCTTTATGGCATTAGTTCTTGAAACGTTTCTCTCCAGTACACCCTGCATACAGCTATCTCCCCTCTCATAAGGGGTCACATGAAAATCAAGGCACTTCTGAATAGTCTGTATGAGAAAATGATTTTTTTCTATCTGTTACTGCAATTAATCTAATTGGGATTGTAGCTTTTAAAAAATCTATGATGTCTCCCATGTTACAATCTGAACTTCTAACAGGTAGTACCTCAAATGGTGTGTTTTCCCACGATCCTTCCCACAGACCTGGGAAGATTCTTATTTCTGCTTATGTATCTAAGGAGAAGTTCTTATGCCCGTGTTTCACATCAGGAGCTCATTCTGAATTGCTTATCCAGTAGAGCTGCATGGGATTATTGGTACTTACTGCCTCCCACCTTCTGTAGCTATGATCGGAGTATTTTACACATTGAATAGAAACAACCAAGTGTCACTGACTTCTCCCATAACACCCTTATTCCACAGTGATTTCCTAATGGAAACTATTGTGAGATTGTTGGCTGGTTCCTAAACTTTGTATTGGGTTATGCTACATAATACCCATATTTTGAGGAGAGTAATGCAACACTTAAGGTGATAATTAAGTGCCAAGTACTTAAATAATTCTAGGTGTACTTATATCACAGTCTTTACCAACTCTCTTTTGCAGTACTGCCCTCTCCCCCAGGGTAACAAAACTTACATAAAACCATATTGACTGCTGTGAGTCCTGTATCAGCTTTTGCATTATTTGGGCCAGGATGACTGTTAAGCTACCTGTCATACAGTAACCCAGTTCATTCCCTAGTTAATGGGATAAATTGGTCATAAACCTGTCACATGTGGGCTCTTCTGGGGTTTCCATGCTGTACCAAGATTTAACTTCTTTTCAGTAGGACAGGCCTCGCTGCTTGCCTCAGGAGCATGCGTTGCCCAGTAAAACACAGGATCTAGAAACTAAGAAAGGGGAACTGTTTCAACAATTAACCCCCCAAGGAAATAGAACTAAAACCTCTGAAAAGAGTTTTCCTGCAGACTGGGAATATGCTGCTTCTGTCAAATATACTCATTGTTTCACTACATTTATAATTATTTTCTTCATCCAAATAACTGGTACTTAGAAACAATGAGGAACCATACCCTGAAATCAGAGTCTGACGTCAACGAAGGCTGCACAGTTTTTGGCGAGACCTGGTGGGTTTGCTGATCTTTGCCTGCCATACTGACTTCATGCTAAGGATTTCAGAGAGCTTAAGAAATTACACTCTGTCATGCAGCGCTAACTTGCTGGGAAAGCTAGGGGTTGTGGCTTTCCCATTAGCAACTAGTTGTAGATGCAGGAGATGTTTCCACATCATCTGGCAGGGTAATGCCTGACAAGCTTTTCTCATCTGTCATCTCAACTGTAGTTGCGAACTTCAGCGTGGCAGGAAGGCAAGTAGGACTTTAATTAAGGGGATGATAGAAGAGATCAGGGGAACTGATCAGCACTGAAGCATCCACAATGCTATCTGAAGCTAACAAAAACAAGAGGCGGTGGGCAGGCTTCACCTCTCCTTCCCTCCCAGTCAGGCTTTCAGTGACTTATTGCTGTCACAAAATACATGGAGTAACTGGAATTGCAAGTTGTTTTCTGCCTCCTACTCTGTTTTGTTTCTGCAAGTTTCATATTAACAAGGTTAACTGTATCTTATCAGTTTGAGGTTTATGCTGCTACCATCAAAACGCTTGCTGTTAAACAAAAAAAGCATAATTTTTATCAGACATGATTCACAGAAAAAGATGTGAGGTCCCTCTCCTCTTCCTTCTGTAGATAAACCACTAGTTCAGTGACAATAACTTTTGACAGACACCATAAGGCATAATATGTTTTCTGTAGTTTTAAGTATGTCCACACTGGACATACTTAAATGAGATGAATTATCATATCTTTTGTGTGAATACAGACTAGTTTTACAGAACTCACAACTTGGCTGAATTCCCAGAAACCTTTCAGTCACACAGAAATATTACTGATCTTGGTATGTGATTAGGAAGCTGGTTACACAAACTGGGTGTGTGCAATCCTTGGTCAAATATACAGTAACAAAAGAGAAATTAGAAACTATGTATGTGATTTCTTCCTAACCTTAGATTAATACTACTACTAGTACTTAGATCAATACCATTTTAAGCTATACCCAGATGATCCGACGGTAAGTATATTCCTTCAACTATAGGATCTATATATGTATATATGTCTGCATTTTCAAAGGGAGAATGAGGTGCATTAGGAGACACAGTTATCACCTGCTAAAGCTCCTGTCTACAGACTCCAGAGTGAGACTCTGGTAAGCCAAACCAGATCCTTTGCAAGCAAGTTGTAGGCTAACCTGACGTGAAAACCAACAGGAGTATAAATGTAGCTGGGCCTTGTGTTATTCAGAGATGATTGCTTCTCTAGGATTACTTCCTTTACTCCACAGATAAATCTCTCACGTGCTCCAATTAAAATAAGCAAATTAAACTCACAATCTAACAGAGTACACAGCTTTGTATTGGGTTATGAATTCCACACCTAACTACAAGGTTTTAAGCCAAAAGCTTGTATCATTCCCCCCCCCCCACTATACTGCTTTGTCTGATCTTAAATGTATCACCTCAGTCCACCAACCACCTCAGAGTCAGTAACTTCCCATTTGATTATTGTTGTAGTATTATTAGTTATATAACTATTGTTTTAGTTTTACTTTTCAAACCTAACTAATAGGTTTTTATGACAATATCTATTTTTTTTTTTAAAAGCCTTATAAATGTTTTTAGAGCCAGGCAATGACAGGAGAGAACTCCTTTCATATCTGCTGTCTCCTGGATGTACTATTAACCAATAATATAAGTCTTAGACAAAGATCACCCATTACACAAGCAGTGTGGGAGAAGCATTTGTAAGAAAATGGAAGACTAAGTAAGGCCTTGAATAGCTTTATTGAAATCTGTATAAATAAACATGCGCATTTCAAATGTAAACCCAAGTGAACTCAAGTGCAGACAAAATTTTAACCTCTGTCATGCAGGAGGTTAGTTTACATTAAAAAAAAAAAGGAAAAAAAAAGAAAAAAAAAGAAAAAAAGAACTCAAAGCAGCTTTAAAATACCAGGATGAAAACACCAGTTTTAATATCAAGGTATAAAGCAAAGCCATGTCCAACAATACCTTATTTATATCCTGGTCAAATGCAATTTTTTTTTTTTTAAACTTTGTAATGCTAACATAAATAAATAATTTACCAAAATGTGCACTCACAGAGTGAACTTTTATTTACAATACACAATTTATAACCTATTGTATTTGATTAGTTCAAGTGAAGAACATCATACTTTTCTCCTTTTTTAAGTTATTTGTTTGAACAGTGGGACACAAAGCAAGTCTCCAGGTAGCAGATATGTGACATGTGCCCCTGCACTTAAAGAGCCCCTGCAAAGGCAGTATTGTATACAAATCATCAATACATTCTTCCAACTAGACCAAAGGGAAAGCAGCAAATTAAAACATGTTTCAAACTTATTTTGGCATCCTGGACCCCTGAATATAATTAACTAAAACCCAACTCAACGTTTGTACGCCTTATATACTGTACAGGTTCTGACTTGAACATGCAAATGCCAATTCTCTTATAATGAGTTACCTTTTCAGATATGCTGTAAGGCTATGGTGAATTCCATCAGGAACACACAAAGAAAATTAACAAGCCTACCTTTAAAATAGTTTTCTTCATTAACAATTTAAAGGCAGGTTCTATTGAAAACAATCTCATCTAAGCCCCGATACACAGTCATTACTATGGATACAGAATACTATTAACTCTGACCCTATTACAGAGTAGTTTGCAAGCTGTCAAACTACAAAAACTGGGGAGAAAGAACTTACAGCACAATTTTAGATTTTGGACTGACACCAGATTAAAATTATGCATTTCTTAGAAGCGAGATAACAGGAATTATGTCTGCAGAGTAGATTCCAACAAGCAACAAAGGATACTTACAGTTAATTGAGAAACTTTTTGTTAATGCAGCATGAAATCCAGAACCTGTTCCACAGCAGCAGTAAGATGAACATAATATTCTGGATGCTCAACTATATCACAAAAGGTTAAAACACCTTTTCAAGCTATTTCTTCTATTGTGACCAAATTTAGAAAAAAAGAGTAAATTTGAGGGAGAAACAAAAATCTGCTGTTTCAAGAAAACTACTGCTTATGTATTTATGACATTTTTACTTGTAATCTCTGTGACAGCCTAAAGAACATGTATATATTCATCAGAAACTAAACTTGGCAGTAGTATTCTTGCAGTGCTATGAAAATAAATGTCAGAAGTCCACAGATTTAACATTTTAGTTATTAACTCACATCCAAAACAGAAGAAAACATAATTCATCAGAACAGCAGCAGAAAACTTAAAAGGGGTTTATTTGTGATTTCCTATATATAGCTTGTGAATACAAGACTGTAAATGCATTAGAGACAATTTCTGTTTAAGTTTTTATTGTTTCACTTCAAGTACTGCACATGTTAAAATTTAATAAAGATTTACATTCTGTTATCTGAAATTCCCCATCTCAGACTTTTATTTCTAATTTGGTGGGCAATTTCCCTCTTTCAATAGGTATCCCCTGTAAGAAAGTCTCTTATGGCTTCTAGTTCTTCCATTAGTTAGTGTGCATACAATTTTCATTTTCTATATCGTTATCATTTTCATTGCTGTCTTCATCGCTTTCTAGTGGGATGCCTGTGGCAGCTGAAGCACCTTGTTTAGTTTCCCGGTCAAGAGGAAAAAAGCCAGTTCCACTGATTGTGTCCTGTCTCTGGTAGAAGAGCACATACGCTGCTTTGGACTGTAGAAGAGAGAGAAGTGTGATATGCTTATGAGACTCCAGACAAATCATTTACAATCCAAGTTATCCTTTTTTCCCCCTCTTCTTCCAAGTGTACAGAGTAAAATTACAAAGAAATCCAAAGCTTTCATGTAAGTTATTTTTGCATGTTGGAACAATTCAGTTTGGTTTTGTGTTGTCCTTTGAAAGAACACAAACTACTACCTACACATTTACTGCAAGGTTCACAGTTTACTCTTCATTTGCCTTCCCTCAAGAGAAGAACGTTATCAACAGTCCCAGTTTTAGAAACACAAAAGGTACTTGCCACTATTTGGTCCTCACATGCAGTGGACACGCTACTGTCATCAAAGTAGTACCATTTTCCATCATCCTTATTTTTTGCAAAAGCAGTATCTAGGACAAAAAAGTACAATGTCTGAGGACCCTTATCTTCATAGATGTAACTCGATCAGTTGCTGGAGTCTGTTACTGTGAAACACTTGACATTTAGCTAACTAAAACCTATCACAATTAGATTCAAACTTTCACACACTTGTTAGGGTTTTTTAAGCAAAGAAAGCTTAACCAATAACATTCCCCTTCTTAAAGAGAGCATATGGCGACAAGAAACAGTCAAAATAAAATCCCTCAATCACTTTTTAATTTTTCCCTCTTCTTTCAAGGAGATGCTCAATGTACAAAAATACAGGCGTAAGACAAAATCAGTTGTAAGAGTACAGTAGCTCTTTTAGAGATCTCGTTTTCTCTTTCCACAATATGCACAGCTATAAATGTAAAAGAACCTACAATCATCTTGAAAGCTCATTTCATATAGATTTTTGTGTTAAAACACTTGTGAAAGAATTTCAGGGTGATGAAAAAAATATAATCCCTCAACCAGTAAAAAAGCCATTGATTCAAAGTGATCAGTATTTAACCCAAAATAAACACAGAAAGAAAGCTGACTTTAGAATGATGATATTTGAAATCAACTTACAATGCCCTCCTCCCATTCCTCCATAATGATTGGAAACAGCGATCAAATTGTAGCGGCAAGGCCCTGCATTGGGATTAATAAGGAACTCTGACATGTCCAAGTCACTGTTTTAAAAAACAAAACAAAACACAAAACAAAACCAAACACACAAAAAACAAACAACCAAAAGAAGGTCATGTTAATAAAATTTTTAACCATTTCACATTTTGGTGGTCTTTGAGCTCTTTACTTTATATTACCCACAAGTAAAACATACACTGCACTACAATGAGTGCGTGTCTCAGTGAGGAGTGGAATAGAAACCAGCAATCTTGGCCAAAACTATTGATAAGAGTTTTTCTACACTTACAGAATCATGGAAAGATTTGGGTTGGAAGGGACCCTAAAGATCATCTTGTTACAACCCCTCTGCCATGGGCAGGGTCACGTTCCACTGGAGCAGCTTGCTCCAAGCCCCTGTGTCCAACTTGGCCTTGAACACTGTCAGGGATGGAGCAGCCACAGCTTCTCTGGGCAACATCTGCCAGTGTCTCACTACCCTCATAGTAAAGAACTTCTTCCTAATATCTAATCTAAATTTACCCTCTTTCATCTTAAAGCTAATCCCTCTTACCCTGTCACAATGTGCCCTTGTAAAAAGTCCCTCTCTAGATTTCTTGTAGGCACCCTTTAGGTACTGGAAGGCTGCTACAAGGTCTCCCTGGCACCTTCTCTTCTCCAGGCTTGAATAAGCCCAACTCTCTCACCCTGTTTTTGTAGGAAAGGTGCTCCAGCCCTCTGATCATCTTCATGGTCCTCCTCTGGACTTGCTTGAGCAGGTCCATGTCTCTCTTATTTTGGGGGCCCCAGAGCTGGATGCAGTACTCAAGCTGGGGGGGTCTCATGAGAGTGAAGTGGGAGAATCACCTCCCTTGACCTGCTGGACACGCTCCTTCTGATGCAGCCCAGCATGTGGTTATCTATTACTGTTATTTTTCCAAGTTGATATCTTTCACCTACAAGCATTTTGTTATCAGTAGTTACTGAATACATGCATGGAAGCCAAGAACAAAACCATTTCATATAACTGCTGAATTAAACATGCGCTCCAGTCATGCTTTTACACTTCTAGCACCAAAATACTTAGTTTCTTACTTAATTGGAAAGTCAACCAATGTGTCCAACTTGTCCCTCATGTATCTGCTGTAGGAAAAGCGCTTTAGATGGACAACCAGTACGGGGGGCAGTGACCACAAGTCTAACTTCTTGGTAGCTTGCTGATGTTCTTTACAGTTTGGACAATACCTAAAAAAAACCCAACATATATATATGTATTTTAAAAACTGCAGTCCATATAGACACTAAAATACATTACTGTAGAGAAAGCCGTAACTGAATGAGCTGAAACACACACACACACACCATCTTCTGCCACTGATCTCCCTTCCACTCTAGTGACAGTGTGCAAGCATGCTCACAGTAATGCCTAACAGTATTTTGAACACAAAAGTAGCACCCCCAATACAGGATTCCCATCTTCTATAGGAGTCCCTCTACCATTGGTTAAAACACAGTTTTCTGATATTTTGTAAAAAAAAAAAGAAAAAAAAAAAGATGAAGGGTTATGAAAATACTTCAGGAAAGCTGATTGTATGAAAAGCCATAAATAACAGACAACTGTGGCTCTTCCAAGTTTCAACTGTCAAATTCTTCCTCCTCCTATCTCATTTCACCTGTGATTAATACCCAGATATAAACCAAAAAATGAGGTCAGCCTCCTCCCCTCCCACATAAAGGAGGATCTCTGGTGACAAAGCCTGGAATTCTCCAAAACTTTCAAGTATCCACAAAAGAGAAAGCAGCAGACCCTCTTTTTAAACCTAGTTCTGAGGTCCAGGTGTTGATGAAAGTTTTTTAACTGCTACAAGATTCCTGGAGAAGAAGGATCTTATGGGAACATCCTATAATTGTGAGTAGCCACATACAGCTCCTAACTAATTGCAATTTGGAAGAACCATGAATCAGAAGCCTCCACGAAAAACTTACTGGTTGGAATATGAATTTGAGAGGCTCTACTGACTATAGACATTCACTACCCCACAAACCCCGATTTCATGTGTCAATGCAAGGCAAGTTATATATCTACATAAAAAGCCCCTTCAATATGCACCAAGCCTCATCTCAAAGGAATGTTTGAAACACTGTATTGGATTTGGCACAATGTTATTCATTCACTGCAGGTCACAGTTCACAGGCTAGAATATCTTATGGATTTACCCTTCCTCCTAATTCTGAATGCACTAATTCTCTCCTACATAAACATAACCTTCTGTATATGGTAATGATTTCAGTTAAGCAATGGATCAAACAAGAAAACATACTGAGAACTTCCAGCTATGCTTGAAATGACTTCAAGATTCAAAATGCCATTAAATCAATTAAGTATCTCTGTTAATGTTCAAATGTGGTTTCGATTACATTTTGACAAATACACAATAGAACATAATTTTAACTGTTTTGTTCTTACCATGGGTCTTCAGCACCTAGTTTTTCCTTTGTTGTGAACAGCTCAATGCAATCTTTTAATTTCACAAAAGGCTTTTTGGGAGGCTTATATTCCACACTTTCATGTTTTTCAAAATCCTAAAGAGAAGTATTTCTTGAGTTAAGAGAACAAATGAAACAAAACTCATTTTAGTGATGTCGTCTTACTATAAACAGTAACTACAAAGCTCCTATATATGGAAAAACTGATCAGAAACCATTCAAGCAAAAAGTTTTCACATCTTCAGATTTAATTCCAAATTAGCAAGCCTCAGATTTACTAATTAATTAGATGTGTAAAGAAGCTTATTTATGACAATGTATTTACTCCAAATAATGTGGGGAATTAAAAAATCCAAACCAAAACAGCTGTTTCTTTTGAAGACATACAATCCCTTACATTAATTAAGTTGTATTTTTCACATTTAAGTTCTATTAGTGCTGGAAACTGGAAGCAACATGAACAGCTTACCTCTGCTGCACTATCATCAAAATATCTCTTCTTCAACTCAGGATCCCAATCCAAAGCAAGGAAAGATCTTTCTAAGATTAAAAAAATGTTTTCTTTTAATATTATTTCTTGCTTTACATGAAATTGTATTAACTTCAGGCAAACACTCTTCAAAACAAACAATGCTAGCATGAATTTAAGATTAGAAAGAGAAGCACACACAATTTTTGTATTTTTATGAGTTAACTGCAGTAACAAATTCATTATTTATACAGCATTTACTACTGGATAAGAAGATAGACTGAATAGCACAACAAGTGAACAAAACACTATTCTATGGAAGTGGAGTTAGAAAAAAAGTATCAGGATCAAGTGCTGCCCAACATGCTCCCCATGACTTACCGTCAAGCCTAGGTTGCCTGTCATCAAATCTAATATGCCTGGTATCATCTTTGATGTAGTTTATGTCAGTATTGCCTAAATTATTGAACTGGAATGTAAACAATCGCTTTTTGTGTCCCATGAGTGGTTGACCTTTGCAAGTATCCTCAGTACATAATCCATTTTCAGAATCATTGTCACCTCCCACTGAGTCTTCTGACTGGCTGTTTTCATTCTCTGAGGGAAGTTCCTGATCCTGGCTGGATTCATCATCTTGTTCATCTGTTTCCATTTCACCTGAAACAGTCAGAAGAGTAAGGAGGAAGAAATTAAGCAGAATAATAACTACTGAAGGACACTACAGAATTAACTTCAGCCTCAAATTGAAGACAAAATACTAAACAATCTTAGATATTCCAGTCTTACTTGGAGATCCTTCTTCATGTATACCATTCGGGCCGTTACCATTGATACCATGGTCCTTACAGCAATGTAGGGTTCCTTCAGTGTCCTCGCTTTCGGTACATGTTTTTACATATCGGCTAAATATAGAAAATGAAACAATAGTTAGAACCAACAGATTTTTAAATATTTACATTCTTCAAGCCAAAAAATCCAATGGTTACAGCAAATCTTTTCTAGTGTTCTGTATTCCTGCGCTCCTTTCTGATTTAGTCAGAATAAAGAGTTTCATTGCCTGATGTGTACTACTACAGGTACACCTGAAATTCTGCTTGCCTTTTGGCAGTTACTTGATTTTATACAACTCGATTCTTTTTTATTAGTCTGCTTGTCCAGAATTCAGTTCTTTAACTGTTCATTAACCGTATATTTTTACACAAGGAAATTAGTCCACTTACAGAGGAAGTTACACCAACAGAAAGTGAAGCATGAATCTAAAACTGTATGTTAAATGATTCTAATTTCTTCCGCATAATGACACTTATTCCAGCCTAGTTTCAGAAAGTATCTAACCATGTACTTTCACAACATAAATTAGCATATGTGCTTGCATAGTAGATACAGGTGTTATAATCACAGCAGAGTAACTGACAAAGCACTTCCATTTTACCAAATCTTAACAGCTATGTATACAGCATAGTTAATTCCCCCAAACTGACAATACACATTGACTCTCTGCTCTTTTCTCAAACAGTTTTTGGATGAAGTCATGCTAACAAAAAACCAACCAACCAACCAACCAACCAACCAACCAACCAACCAACCAACCAAAAAAACCCCAAAACAAATTAAAATCCACACTAGTTCATGTCTCAAGTGGCTAAAATTTAGATTTAATACATGTAACAGAAAGCAAATAAAAGATTAAGTACTCAAATCTACGCAGTTTGTAAGCAATGCATGTAAACACATGTTCCTACTGATTAAGATTATTAGCATTATTCATAGCAAACATGTTTTTCTTTAAACAAGAATCTTACCACATTCTTAGCAGCAGCAGGTTATACAGTTTATCTTCAGTATTGTTTCTAGGCACTGCTATGAGAAAAGGTTGACCAAAGAGTGAAGAACCACTATGGCTGTAGCTAGTGTACCTGCACTTTTCCCTTAAACAAACAGGAATTATAACTTGCTCTGTATCTTCCGTTCTATTGATAGCAATTTCAAATCTAGAAGAAATACAAAGGACAACTATCATTTAAGAGGCAATAAAGGGAATATAATAAAAAAAATAACCAAAACCCCCAATATTTGTCTTTATCTTATGCCTACCTTTTAATCTTTTGCAAACAACAAACTGCAAAGATACACGAAACATGTATCTGCACTTACACATAAATGTCGTCACGTTCCATAATGCTACTCAGATTTTCATCCATGCCAAATATCCTGTGGAACCTGTGATTGTATATATCAGTAACAATCATCTAAAAAGAAAATGGAGTATACATCATTAAATCAGGTTAGTATGTGTTGAAATGTTCATTGTTGTGCTTCCTATAAGAAATCACTCTCACCTTATCTGCGGCAACACCAGACAAAGCCGACAGTGCTATGCAAAGATCCAATATGTTTCCAATTTTGGGAACAACTACTTTGTACTAAAAAAAAAGAACAAAATGTCACTTTATTTTCTTAAGAGAACAAATATACAAGAGAAAAAAACCAAATAACTTATCACATGTTCAGCATGTTTCATGTACTTCTTTCAGATTCTTGAACTTAAGGTGCAAAGTATGGAAATCAACTAACACAAATTCCAAAAGCTACTGAAAAAGCAGTAGTTACCTTCACAGCTTTACTCATACAATCACGCACACTTCGAACACTACATTTATCAGTTTACACAAAGTTTTTCTTTAATGTTATTTTATTTTCTCCGTAAGACTAACAGCAGCAATCACTTAAGATTTCTATTTCAACAGCACCTGCCTATTTAAGCATTTAAATAGTATGTATGCTATTTACTAGATTCTTAAATTTTGAATACAACACCAGTTGTTCATAAAGTATTACTGGGAATAAAAAAGCAATGGTAGGCAATGGGTAAAGACTGATTTTAATCTCCCATGCAGAGAGAGAACTTGATGATTAACAGTCAAAGAAAACCTCCCTGTGGCTTCTCTGCAGTTTGAAATGAAACTCCACATAGGACTCTTACCTGTTATTTGCATAATAAATAATGACAGGATTAATTAGAAAGAAGGTATTATAACTTTGCAATTAATTGCCAAGTACAGCATGTCTTGTATCTCCTTAAGTCTTAGTTATTTAGACTCACAAAAGTACTGAACTCGTACTCTTCCCAAAAATCTATTCATTCCTGCATAGCCATCTCACATATCACACAGGGTCACCCTCAACTACTGTGTGTCCCTTGTGCAAACCAGTTCTCACAAATAACTGAATCTCTAGCAGGCTCATCTCCCAACAGTTAATACATGTCCCTTTACCTCTGACTTCCTTAATTCATACTGCCTTTGAGAATACTCCCTTTCCCCCCCACCTTCTCTCCTATAGTACTCTGACATTAGGTGTTAAAGGCTTTTTGCAGGTCTGCCTAATTGCCTGTGTCCTATTTATTTCCCTTATCCTGGCTTACCCTATAATAGATCCATTTATCATGATCTTGTTACCGTAACCTATGTACATTGTTTCATGCCATTCTAAGGGGTACAAGACCACCTTCCTAAAAAAAACAAAAGGGGCAAAAGAGATATCCTTTACAAATAAATCTCATGTGAAATTAAGACTGGATTAAGTGTACAAGTATTCTAATAACCATTCATATTATTTAAAGCAACATTAAAATAAGAAATGAAGACAGCATATATTTTAAAAATTAAGAAGCCTTTTTAAGACAACCATAAGGAAATTATCAATATCTTCTTTGAAATCAACAGAAACATGAGAAGGTATGTATAGCCTTCCTCAGGCTTTCTAAGTGGGATTTCAGAACACTAAAGCTTGCTGGATTTGCTGACTCTACTTATACATTTAAACAATATAAAGCAACTCAGATTCATTGTTAATGCCACATGAATCAGAAATTTTGTATATAAATTTAGAAGCTTACCTGCATAGGCTTTGCAAGTGGATCCATTCTAACTAAATAAACTTCCAAAGTGCGCTCTTTTTTCATGGGCAGTGGAAGTGTCAAATAACAAAAAGGATCAAAGGTTACAGATATCTTAGCACATTCAGGACAAACCAGGGTGGATTTAAAAAGGCCATGAAATATATCTACGATGATGGAATCATTTCTTTTTAAATGGTTTTCCCAGGCTTCTTCAGCAACCACCTGTAATGAAAGCATGACCTGGGTTATGACAAAGTAGTAAGAAATGAATAGTGAGAATTATGAATATGAAGAAATGAATAGTAAGAAACAAGCAAGAATGCTTGTAACTCAATGCTAGAAGAGTTTTCCTAAAGTAAGAGTACTAGAGAAAGACAGAATGCTGCATAGTGTAGGTATAAGAATAACAGAACAACAGAATGGAAATTGCTTTTCCAACTCTTTTAACACCCTTCCACTCCACCCAATTGTCTTCTGAATAACCTGAAATTTACACAGTATTTGAAGATCTCCATTTCAAGGTCTTGCATTATTTCCTGAAATCTCTTCCAGAAAAAGCCACACACAATCAGTGTCCCAACTTTTCAATGCACAATCATGTAGAAGGATCTTGCAGTGTATGGCCTTGACTAAAAAGAAGATCAATACCAAAACATTACCTTGTCTGGCCTCCCATCTGCATCCTTTAACTGAATGTAAGGTTTCTTCCTAATTCGATTCAAATCCTCATGTAATCCATCCAAGAGAAAAGCCAGTAGCTCTTGACAGTCTTGCTGCTGATAACCAGAAAATTGGGGTGCAAATCGTCCCACTTGTGTCTAAAAAAAGTAAAAACACAAATACTTCTGGTACCTGAACTGTTACAAAGAATACATACTTCCAATATGCAACAAAAGAAAGTTGAAAAGGTAAAATGTGTAAAGTTATAAAAGACAAGCTTTTCAATGGAGACAGGAAGCCAAAACTAATTCTCAAAAAACCAAAGCACAAGGGCAGCTCATAGAACCATAGAATGGTTTGGGTTGGGAAGGACCTTAAGATCATCTAGGTCCAATCTCCCTGCCATGGGCAGGGACACCTCCCACTAACCCATGCCACCCAAGGCTCTGTCCAACCTGGCCTTGAATACTTAAATATACACCCAAGTGTTTTAACAGTTAAATGAATGGTCTGCATATTGATGAATATCACTTCAAAATTCTTATTCTCACATATTTCCATGAGTTTTGTATACTTAAACAGCAACGCCAAATGACAAAGTACATTCAGGTTAAATTCCCTACTGACCTTAAATGCTCTTGGGGTCACATAGTTGTATTTTCCTGACCACATTTGCTTGATAAGCTCTGCGTAAGATTTTGCTATTTCACCTCGCATTCCCAAAGGATTGTCAAAATTCAGCTCTTCTTGGTATTTATCATTGAGGAAGTATTCTGTAAGAGGAGGTGTGTTGCTCAGACACTGTAAATAGAAAGAACACCGATTTGAATTATTTCTAAACAAAGATTTGAGAAAGCTCATTCTTTTCTTGGTACAAAGCAAACAGCTTTTATTCCTAGTAGCGGTGATGCCAAGCCTCCCCAGCCTCACAGATCTGTGTTGTCAGTTCTGAACTAATTCATGCAGCTAAGGGGAGAAACACTTGTTCTCTCAAATCCACATAGAAACAGTCAAGAGTTTTCAAATGATTATTTTTAGCATGAACCTAAATGAACAGATGGACTAGCAAGTTCTACCAGACACATAGAAACAATACAATGCAAACCACACTAAGCTAATTATAAATAAAACCACACTCCAGGTAAAATTCCATGTTCAACCTGAGTGATTTGACAAACCCTACTGCCCAAAAAAGTCCTGCCCCTTCTCTGCTGATCCTCATCTGACTGCTCAACAAACATGTTCATCTCATCTGTAAAAAACAAACAAACCCTGTTTTTCCTCCACACTTTTCTTCTGTATTATTTTTGGTCTGGGTACAAGATCAAAGCAGTTCAGGTGATCAGCTCAGTGTGAAGAATGTCCAGAACAAATATGCAAAAATAGCAAATTCTTTCTATAGGCTCTTAGTGAAGCACTACACAGTGTGCTGACAGTGGGCTGTTTCACAAAAAAAACCCTCTAATTTATCTTTTTCTAATTTTCACCTGATAAATTAGTCATTTTCTCAGAATATTAATTTATATTTGTATGCATAAGTCAGGAATATTACTACAGATAATTTCCCTTTTTCCTTAAAGCAATTTCCACACTCCAACATAAGATGACACTGACAGTAGTACTGGAAAGCACAAGTATCCATCTGAACACAGCAATTCCTGAGATACAGAGCTGAGTCTTTTCTAAAATATCAGATGCCACAACTTTTAAAAGAGTAGCTGCTAAAGGAACTAATACAGTTGGCCACATACCCACTGATCTTTTCAACATAACTGACAAAGCTAAGTAACTGCCAACATGTTTGCCTCTTGAAAAGGCTGAAAATGGAGAACTATTTAAGACCATTATTAAAGTCACAGGGAAAAAAGCATCCAGGTGGCAATTTGAAAGGAAGCCTTTATTCTATTAGCTCATGATGGGGTATGCTATAGGTTATCAAGGATGCTTTATGTAAAGCATCAGTAAAACCCAACCAAACAAAAACCAAACCCCAAACAAACCAACCAACCACACACTCCCCTCCCCAAACCAACACAACAAAATCCCACCAGAGAACCAAACCAACCAACCAAAACCCCAAGCCCAAAAAACTATTTGAACTGAGACAATGTACTAGACAACAAAGTCAGCAGATCTATGTGCCTTGTTCAACCTTACGGGTTTGGGTTTTCTGTTTGTTCTGAAACACTGATACATGTAAACTAACAAGTATACTGACAGATGAAGAATAATAGAAACAAAAAAACCCCACCCCTAAACAAAAGTACTAAAACTACAGGAAATGATTTGTGAACTACAGAAGTAATGGAATGGCACTTCATTTAAGGTACTGCAGTCTCCACAAGTTTTCTGTAACCAACAAAACTTCCTTTAAGTGATCAGTCTCTGGACCCAAACTGGTCATTTAGACTGTTGGGAAAAGACAGAGCAGAATGTAGAAACTCCAAGACCAACTATGAGACAAACCACAGCAGAGAAGGAGTGGTCTCTGACACGAAAAAGGTTAACGCTGAAATTATAGTCCCATGTTACATATTGATTACTTTGGAAAAAAATGAAAAGCAAAAAGAAGATTTTTCTGTAGCAGAGTGATTTGTGGACAGCTACTTCTGTAATCAGTGTCAAGCAATCACAAAATCAACCTCCAAGAAAGTCAGACCAAATGTGACTGGATGAAACAATGCTTCACACAAGTTGGGGATCAACGTTATTACGACACACTGCATGTGCTGTTGTGGCACATACACCCTGGAAGAACTCTAATCTATTAGGTCAAAAAGGAGACGTGATCACCTGTAAAGACACAGTCTACTGTTTAGAGAGCACAGCTGTAACTAGCAGGGTGTGGGAGGCATTAAGATGCACAGAAAAATAAACCATAAATAATTGTTATTTTTAGGGCCTTTTATATATATCAGTGCTGCCGTCTCACTGGAATAGTGTAATTCCAATACTAGATTATGATCTTGTTAACAAGTCTATCTGTCCTATGAAACCTTCACAGAGGAGGAAAAATAATAGAAATAGTAATGTTATACTTCTCTAAATCCATACACGTATGGGAAACTGATAAAAGTTTGCTAGGACTCTGATCGTTTAATTAATAGAAAGAAAAAAAAATGAATGAAGAAAGAAGGCTACCAAGAGAGTAAATGGCCTGGGGGCACTTGCTCCATGAGAAAAAGCTTAAGCCCTGGGGCTTGTTCAGCCTGCAGAAGAGACTGTTTCAGGGAGACTCAACATCAGCCTTCTAGTACCTACACAGAAGTTAAAGAGAAGACAGACCCAGGCTCTTCACAGTGATGAACAGTGGGAGGACAAGAAACAAGGGACATGAACAAAGAAATGGTAAGGATACAAGGAAAAAAGTTTTCACTGTAAGAACAGTCAAGCAGTAGAGCTGAGAGGCTGTGCAGCCTTCTGGGAGATATGTGACCCAATTAGACTAAGCCCTGGGCAACTTGGTCTGAACTCAGAGCCAGCCTTCCTTTAAGCAGGAGGTTACACTAGAAAACTCTTGAAGTTCCTTCTAACCTGAATTATCCTATGATGCTAAGGTAACAAGGAAACATTTATTCACCTCCTGTAAGCGGTATTACATAGAAATGATGATTAAAATAAAATTCTGAAACAAAGAAAACATCATTATCTATTATGCCAGTGAACTGGGGAAATGAACTGACAGCAGGATCATGAAATCAAGCTAAAAATTTCAGCTTTCTAATAAAAGACCAAGAGTCAACTGAAAGAAAGATCCAATAGGAGAAAGTGAATTACTTTACACTTGCCTATCCTACTTTTGTCTGAAGCAAGTAGCGTCAGGCATGGTGAAAAGCGCTCAAGCTAATATACCTCTTAACTCAAACTCTGTATGTCTATGGCAACTGAAACAGAGCACTGAAAACTTTATCATTTCAGGTTTTGGAGAAAGACGTTATGACGTCTGGATAAACTCACTGCCACTAGTAACTGTTAATCAGCTTTCAGGAGAAAGAAAACTCCTGAAATAAGCCATTGCAAGTTCTCAGCAGCTGTTATTCAAAAGTCAAGTATATGTTATCATACTGATGGAAAAAAACAAAAATAAGAATGCGTGTGTGTGGAAAAAGTGGTTTTAATTGAAACATTTACTTCCATTGTTCTCCTATTCTGGAGTCACAAAACAAAAACTTTATGAATTCTCTGCAAAAGAAAAAAGAAAGGCATATCCCACAGAGCTCCAACCATGGGCATCCTTCCAAAAGGGCAAAGCAATACTCAGGGAACATCCACAGGTGGCAGCAAAGTAACGCTCCATGAGACTCCTTTTTTCTAACTTTTTCAGCTTAGAAGACAGGCAGGTACATCAGTGAATGTGAATAAAACATCTTGCCACATACTCTCTTTTTTTTTTCTTGATACAGATTCAAGCATGCATAATATATTTTCATGAAGTCCGCAAGCTAGCTCTCTTTTGTCTTTCCTGGTTTTTTAATGATCATATCTGTAAAAGCAGTCATTTAAGCCTTAATAGTAAAATTCAAGCCTTAGTGTTAGCATTGAAATAAATTAGACTGATAGACGTAATACACCTGTACAAGAATCTGAAAAAAATCACCACAGGAAGTTTCAATACAACCAAAATATGAAACAATATTGAATTACTGCCTTTTAAAATATAATCACAAAGAAAGACACCTTAATAAGGTAAATAAGCTAGAGTAAGTAACCAAAGCAGATGAGAGAATCACAAAGTAGCTGAGGTTGGAAGACACCTCTGGAGACTGTCTAGTCCAATCTCATGCTCAAAGACGGCTCAGCTGGGGCACGTTCCTTGGGACCGTGTCCAGTTGGGTAATGACCAACTCCAAGGATGAAGGCTCCACAGCCTCCCTGGAAAACCTATTCCACTGTATGATAACCCTCAACTGTAAAACAAGTTTTCTTGTAGTTAACTAGAATTGCCTGTGCTTCAGTTTGTGCCCATTGGCTCTTCTCCTTACGGTGGGCACCACTGAGAAGGGGCTTGCTCCATTTTCTTTGTTCCCTCCCACTGGCTATTTATACAGATTGTGGAGTTCCCTCTGGAGCCTTCTCCAGGCAGAACAGTTCCAGCTCTCTGAGCCTCTCCATAGGTCAGATGCTGTCAGATTTGAGGCCACGTTCCTGGCCTCTCACTGGACTTGCTCCAGTATGTCCCTGTCTCTCTGGTACTGGGGAGCCCAGCACTAAACACAGCATTCCAGGGCTGTCTCCCCAGTGCAGAGTGGAGGGGAGGGGTCACCCCTCTTGACCTGCTGGCAATACTCTGCTCAGTGCAGCCCAGGAGATTGTTGGCTGCCTTTGCCACAAGGGCACATTGATAGTTCATGTTATTCTTTTTGTCCAGGAGGACCTCCATGCTCCTCTGTCAAGTTGCTTTCCATCTGGCCACTGGCCTCTATACCCCAGTGCATAGTGGTGCCTGGGGTTGTTCTTCACCAGGTGCAGGCTTTTGCATTTCCTTCGACTGAACTTCATGAGCTTCCTGTCTGCCCGTTTCTTCAGCCTGCTGAAGTCCCTCATTCAGAAGGACAGCCCACTCACCTGGTGTATCAATTCCTCCTCCCAGATTTCCGTCATCTCTAATCTTGCTGAGGGTGCACTCTGCTCCATCATCCAGGTCAAAGCCTACAGCACCTAATATGCCCAAGCAGAATTCCCTACTCTGCCACCCATGTACTATCCAGGCCCTTCCCTTTGTTGCCTCCAAGATTAAACAAGATCAAATGTGATCAGAGTCAGCCGGAGGTATTACATCTCTAGGCAGAATAATCCAGTGTTACTCCAATAACAGTCGGAGGTGAAATTAAAGGCAAATTAGTGCAGTGAAATGTATGCTTTTGGTGTAATTGGGAAAAAGGCAGAAGTTGACGGTGGCAAGAAAAAAGAAGACAGTGGAACTCAAAGCATAAGAGAAATGTTAAAAGCAAAACATGTAATTCTATCACTAAACAGCACTTCCATGGATTTCTTCAGTAACATTAAACTCTGGACAATACTTTCTTTGAGAGATATTGTAGGTGGAACTGAAAGATATTTTACACTTCCTTGCCAAATAATGCATTTGAAAAAACTCCATCAAAGACGTACTAAAGGTACCATGCCAAACTAAAAGCTGCTCTGCCCAGTAATCACCTAATTTTCTTACCCAGAGGTCTGTCTTGTGAATCAGCAAGATCCTGTTTTTTAATTTCAACTACTGTTTCTCAGAGTTTATTTGAACACTTGATTCCCCAGATATAACTGAAAAGCAATGAAGTCAAAGCTGATCGATTTAGAATACAGACTTAAGAATTAAATCCAGGTATCACAATGGGATACTGATGTGAACTGCAGCAAGTTTGTCAAGCCGTGTAAGATTCCTACAGGCAATAACCCATGCCTGTACTTCTCCCCTAAAAGGTTACTTTAAAATCTACATATATGCAAATTCATGCATACCAGTTTAACAAAAGCTTAAGTAATCAAAATTATCCTTTTTTTTTTTTTTAAATCAGTCTAGCCCAAAGAACAGTGTGGCATCATAAGAAAAAAATCCACTATTCACTAAGAACATTCTTTTAATTCAACTTTTAAAATACAACTCTTGTTTATATGCTAGACACGAATATATTCTTGGCTTTTGTTTTGCTTTTCTTCACAGTGGCATAGTGAGGCAATTCAGAAATGAAGAGAGGTTACATATAGCTTTTTTGTTTAGAATGGATGCTGCAAAATACATGTCCCTCCCCCTTCTGGTTTAGCCAGCTATCATGCAGCACGCTAAAAAGAATAAAATTAATTACTTCCTGCACTGTTCAACTTCTCTTTAAGTATCCTCATGAAAACATTTTTAGAAACAAAAATAAACTGAATATATATATTATATATACATATATTCCAAACTTATAAATAACCCCATATACCATTACAGGCTGAGGGCTGACCGGCTAACAAAGCAGCTTTCCATAATATGACCCAATGGTCCTTTTCTGTTAAAATGTGGAAGAGCCAGGAGTGCATCCCTGTGGGAAAGGTGGCCAATTGCAAGCTGGGCTGTAATTAGCAATAGTAGCCAGAAGCAAAGTAAAGCAGGTCTTCCCCTCTATTTGGCACCTGTGAGACTGCTGTTGCAACAGCAGCACTGTGCCGTTTAGGGCTCCCCAGTGTAAGAAAGAGGAGGGCCACCAACATGGTTGAGGGCTGGAGAAAAACATACAAGGAAAGGCTGGGAGGCATATGTATTTGTTTGACCTGAAGAAGACATGACTAAGGGGAAAGCTCATGGCTGTCTGCCCCTATATTATGGGAGGCTACAGAGAGGTGAAGCCAGACTCTTCCCAGAAGAGGTGGGATCCATGATCATCTTGGGGTCCCTTCTAACCCAAATTATTCTCTGACTATATACAGGATATATATCTAAATAAGACATACTTTTTTGTTTTTAAATTTCATTTTGCCCAAAGAAATCACAAACATAAGTTGGAAACTGTTGTGATGACAAAGGAAGAGATTAACTCTGAAGCATGCTCGATTAGGATCTAGTATCTTTATACTCAGCAGGAAAAAAATGTGAGTGAGAACTTAAATACACTCTCCACGTTTTTGACGCAAGACTGCTTTGAAGACAAAACACAAGTTCCAGAACTAAACAAAACCAAATTAAAACAACTATTTTTTCCTGATCATTAATCAATCTACCACTGCAACTTCTACTTAAAAGGATAAAGGGGTTTTCTATTTTTGTAAGAATAATATTAGGTATACTAGTATTTCTTTTGCAATCATAGCAAAGAAAAAAGCTATTATATATTTCTGTAAAATATCTCATCCTTGAAATAGCATCTATTCAAAAGGGAAAGATCAAAAGGAAGTATGTTCAAAGGCTCCCTGAATGTTAACCTACACACTAGAAGTACATGGTAATTAGTTAGAAATAAGGGCTAGTGAACCACTGGTCATCTATTTTTGACACTTCAGCATTACTGTCTACTCAACCACATCTCAAAATCAAAATGGACTTTCTGCAACATGCATGCATAGCAATCATTACAAAAAGCAAAGAGTCCCATTTTATGGTTCACTCATGAATAATGCTGTCAAATAGCTTTCTAACACTGATCACTATACAAAACCAGGGGAAACAATGAATGCACCTATGTAAATCAACTTTTCTAGTATAGAAATTATTTCCTCACTTTTAATCCTATCCTGCTAATTAATAGTTTCTTAATATTAATTATTTTCCAAACATGACAAAAAACCACAAGACACTAGTTTCCAAGTCATAAGACAGGCTTATTTCATTCTAAAGTACATACCTGAATTGCTGAATTCATGAAACATGTATTTCCCAAGTTACTCAGGCCACACAGGCCTGGCTGCTCATTGTGTCTTCCTGGCTCTGAATAATCATAGTTCTTATAAGCAGTATATGATGGGAGACAATAATTTGAATTTTTCACACTGTAAAAAAAAAGAAACATCTTTCACAATGTAAACACGTACTCTATAGTGCTTCAATATATACAAGTACCTTACAACCTTAAATCATTAAAAATGCTAAAGTAACTTCTATGAACAATAATTTAAAGACACATTTAGCTTTGGCAATAACATTTCAATTTGAAAGTCACCTGTGCAAAAAAGCAAAATCTATTGTACTGCAGTAACTGCAATCAGTATATCCCTACCCCTTTTTGATAGGAGCAGCTTCACAGCTTACTCTGTTCTTCATTGCCCCATCAAATTTAATGCACTCAGATTTTAGACACCACCAGCAGCAATCAATCATTTATGTCCCTTTTGCATCCTGCTACTGCAAGAGTGAGGTCGGTGGGAATGGGAATGCAGTTACAGGTGAAAGCTGAGATTTCCAAGGCCACTGTGGCATAGCTGCCTCACTGCATCAGACAGTCTATTTATAGCTTCCTTGCTAGGACAGCACAATCCAGCATGCAAACGCAGGAAAGCCTTGAGAGGTAAAAGAATGCGCAAAATGTCTTCTAACAACTTCATTATAAAACTCTATAACGCATCTGTTTGGAGAAACTAAAGAAGAATGAAATAGGTAAAATGGTAAGATTTATAGCAGTTTGTTTCCCGATGAAATCATGCAAATGCTAAATATAGAATAACCCTCAAAAACAGTGAAGTAAGCATATCTGAGAACGTTAGAAAGGCAAATGAATCTTGTAAGAAGATGCTCTGTAGTATTACAGATGCAACAAAAAACATCCAAATAGACAACTAGAGGTAAAACTCAAACTATTTCACTGATCATAATGAAATCTGTGTGACAGTTACTTCTGGCTGAAGTTCAAGAGTATTTCTGCAGTCACTAAGCATTATTCACATTAGAAGCCACTTTAACAAAAATTTGGAAGTCAATTTTTAAAAATGACAAGGAAAAATACGCAAAGAATCAATCCTGATAAATAATCAAGATTTATAATTGCAAAAGTCTGAGGATGCAAATGCCTGCTGGTACACTCCAGCCATTATTCCTTAACAGCATCACACTCTTTTACATCCAACTGAACTCTTGTTTCTTCAGTGCACAATTACTCACTTCTCATGAATAACAGTTGTTTTGTCTTAATCAGAAGAGATGGGGAAGAAAATTTCTCCCTCTTTCAATGGCCTCAGAAATCTGTGTATTTTATAGCCCCACTATCCATAAAACTGCTGTTGTCAAACTTTTCTATCTGATAATTTCTTTTTAATAGTTGACTCTCCTACCAATCCTTCCTTTCTCCATACCCATGCATTTTCTCTCCTTTCTGGCTTGCCCCCAAACAACCTAAGTGGCATTGTCTTTACTGGTCATTCTCCATGAAAAACCATTTTAAAGTCAGTTTTGCATGTTCAGCATAAACCCGACTTAGATGCTTCACCTTAGTTTACACAAGATACTTTTTAAAATCGAGGGCCCACAAACCCTTCAAGCTTGCTTCTGTGGTTCAGCTCTTCCCTAACATTAATCTCTGGTTCACCTATGCATGAGTCATCTTCAGAGAAAATTACCTTCCATCTCCTTTTGCACCTGCAGTCCAGCTACTGCAGTCAACCCCAATCCCTCTCAGCTGGCAAGTAAGAAAAAGCACAAGATTGCCACTGGTGTCAGTGCAACCTCCACAATACAGCCAACCCCTGACTCATTCCAACAGTGCACAGCAGCAATAGAAATGCATGCTTAGAAGGTGCACAGTAAGTTTCTACTTCCAGCTCTGCTTGGTTCCTACTACTTTGTACCTGACTCAAATATAATTTTCACACAGTTAAGGGAAATCTCTTTTGGGAGTTTAGGAGATGTGGGGGTAATAAAATGACTGAATGTACTTTCCCTGGGGATATTTACTCCCCTTCTTTTTCCTGTTCTGCAGCTTTCCCCCTTCACAAACTGGCACCTTAAGAGGGACAACAGAAAGCTAGGAAATGCAATCAGTATCTTTTGGCTATAGTGCGATCATGTGAGATTTCCTCGAATTAGCTGAGTAACATAATGATAATTTAATTCAAGATAATTGTAATACAGATAGATCCCCAATGTTGGTTTGCTCTAAGCTACAAATTATCAGAATTTACTTCTCAAAAGGGAAAGCATTTCTGAGCTCTTTTGTCTTCTGTACTGGTCCACAGAAATACATGTGAGTGGTTTAAAGGAAGTGATTACCATACTCATCCCGTGACTCAAGTCTATTCATGTATTTTTCTTTCAGGGTTCTGTGATACTTTATCAAAACATATCCTGCAAAATACAGCGGCTCCCATGTGCAGGAAACTAAATGTCTCTGTACAGCTTTATCAGTGCACAAACTTCATTTTTTCTGGAAGAATTATTTTCATTTAAATTACGTTGTGCCTCTGCTTTTCATGCTTTTGAGACTGAATCAAAACCAAAGTACTACTGCTGGTTAGCAGCAAGTGGCTAACAATAAAAAGCAAGTAAAGACGCAATGCAAGTCTTCATGAACTTAATTCAAACAGAAATGTCATAGAAAAAAATAACTTGTGGTAACATGTCCCCAGCTTCCATCTGCTTTTGCTGCAACACCTCCAGAATGTTGCTACAGGTTAATGAAGGAACTATGGAAAAGCAGAGGGGTAGTATCAGAATGGGGTGTTTAAGTAAGGGCAATAACAGAAAGAAGACACTAATGGCTCATAGAGGAAACTGATGCTCAAGAAATATGGCAAAACTTGAAAAAAATAAACTGTCTTCAGAACACCTGAGAGTTCCTGAAGATGTAATTCCTAATGACATTTTATTATCCATAGATCTATAAATTTTGAGTTGCATTTGCTGTATTTGAAATTACTTGTATGTATTGCCTGTACTCTGCCATTAAACCTCAAGGCAGCTCTCAGATGTTGATGAACCCAGAGCACTCACTGTGCAGCTGGGAGTTCTAGGAAATGTGGATTTGGAACAGAGAAGTTTGGAAAAGCATCAGTAGCTTTAGAAAGGACACGATTTGACAGGGAAATTCCATATACCAACAACAGGTGATGCAAAAGGAATCTGAACTGCAAGAATGAGCGCAAAGAATTAAAAGTTTGGAACACTTACTGAGCTCTGTAATATTTCAATGACTTTAATGCACAGCCAATGTGTTTTTGTGACTAGATGTTTCAACAAACCCATAAATGGGTTACATCAATTTTTAGTGATGCCTGAAGCAGCAGGAGAGACCCATGTCATTATACAGACTACTTTCATTGTTATGGTTCATGATAATTGCAGAAAGAGCAAAAGATAATATTATAATCTATTTAAATAAAGTCTAAAACCACCTTCCTTATAATATTTGCAACACAAAGATACGGTTTCTACAGGTGATGTAATTAACATTTATACTTCTTGAAATAAGCATATTGAAAAATACCATGCATGTGAACAGAGCTGCCAGCTGTCCTTCTGAAAAGCTGACACCACTGAATGATGAAGCAAGTCATTTTAGAAGCCTGAAACAATGGTTACAAATGAAGAGCCCAAAGCAACTTTTCACTTACTTCCCAAGCAAAACCCCTGTTCAACTGCTTTTAATCCCCTCCCCACATAATTTAAAAAACTACCATGTGATATGAAATGTACCGCTTCATAACAGCAATAAACAGAAATTCCAGTAAGACCTAAATGATGCGTGTCTCTCCCTGCTCCTCTGAATCCACTAACCCTCCTATGTTATTCTTTCAACAAGATCACCTGTAAAGGCAAAAGAATATCAAAGACGAATTACTTTGAATCCTTTATTCCAAATGGAAATTCATATTTACAGAAATGAAGGCTTTGGACCTGACAAAATTTGCACAAGCTGTTTCTATTACCTAACGTACAACTAGCTCAACACACAATTAAGTATTTACCAATTTGAGGTTTACTATTACTCAGAATACTTTCTGAATTATACAAGGATTAAATAAATGTGCACCATGTAAAGAAACACGATACGTTAAACAGCTTTAACAAAATTTGTACTCTATAGCCAAGCTCTCATAATTGCAAAATCAGGCTTGCAAAAACTAACATGTATGACTATTACTACACAACCTGTTGTTTGCCTTTTTCTGCCTTACAGATCAATTTTGTCAGCTAAAATTATCTTCAAAAAAAAGTTGGTATTTCTTTTAGAGTCACAGCATCTCATGTCTGTATGGAGGTGCCAATGGATCTTGGAAAGTGACAAATGTGCAATTTCGCTATCGTACTGAAGATGGTGTGGAATGTGAGAGAAAGTAAGGCAGAAACATGAAAATAAATTCCAAGCAAAGCTGTCATTAAGTAGCTAATTAAGACAGTAATGAAGCCTGATCTTAACCCAGAATGATATAATACAATTAAATACAGAGATATATCTTTCCACTTAGCTTTTGAAGCCAAAAATTCTTAATGCAACAGTATGCACTTTAAGTACACGGTATATTAATGGATATGACTTCTCCATCACTGAAGTACTTCATCCTGAACTTGTACTCTGACAGAAGCACTGCTCAAGATTCTTCCTTATTACATATTGGAGTGAATTATGAATTAGTGATTTTTTTAATATTTATTTTAAACTCATCATAATTGCATAATTACACTGTAAGGAAAACCATGTACTTCACCGAGTACATAACACCCAGATATACAGTGGTTTCAGTTACAAGAGGAAAAAGGATGGTATTTCATAACACTACAGATACCATGTGTCTAGTCTTTTGTTTACAAATCCTTATGTTATAATTAAGGCACTTTAAAGGACCAATTTCTTATCACATCTGAATTTTGTATTGCTTCCTTTTAAACATATATTTCTGTTGAAAACCCTCAAATTAAAAAGAATCAAAACCAACCTCAGACTTTTACCTTACATTATAAAAGCTCCTATTTGGCTCCAAAATAAATAAAGCAGCATAAACGAGCTAAAGCCAGTGAAGAAGCTATCTTTAAAGGCTGCAAGAGCTGGCAACAGGTTTCCTAAGTGTTTCCTAAAAATAATGACAGCAGTACTAAAGAGAAGGTGACATTAAGGAAAGAAAAAAAAAAAAAAAACAAAAAAAAAAAAAAAAGAAAAGAAGAAGAAAAAAGCCTTACTGGCTTAGTTTAAAACAGTGGCTCCATAGGAAAAAATAACTGTTAAGTCTTAGTTCTGGCACTACAACTCTCTTTTGCATAAGCAATGGGAGAAGGAGACATTAGTCTTCAGCTGGAGGCAAAGCTCCAGTCAAATAATTTTTCACACAATCATAGGTACAATATATATTTTATTTACTACACATTGACAGAGTACAATAGACTGCAGTTAAATACATGGATTTCAACTGTTCAACAGTGAGAGTTGGGGCTACTCACAATCAGCAGAAGCACAAGTGATACTTCACCCCTTAGGAAAAATCATTTCAGGTAAATGCAGTATTTAACTGGAAGATACTGTATAAGATACTTAATATTTATGTCACCTTTTTAATGTTTAACATCTTCATGTTTGATCACAAAATGCATGTTTGGAAAAATATTTTAAATTTCAACGAATTGTAAGAATATGCCTCTTTGATTTCCCCCAGCTTGCATTAAAGATGACGGCTCTCTAATTTCAAGCATTTGAAAGATGCTCCATTATCTGTTAAAGTGAAATAATTTCATGTTTTTCTATATTCACAAACTTTTTTACAGTAGTGTACAATAAAAAAATTACACACAAAGTTGGCCACTAGAATATGAAAACTCTATTAAACTTCTGATTTGGAGTATAAGGGAGAAAACCCTTAGAAGTGAGAAGTCTGTTCAACTAAACCTCTGATTATTGTAATATTCAAGCACACCTATCAGCCTGATCTCTTTCAAAACTCCTGGCATTAAGACAGAAGTTGAGTTGCTGATAATTAATCAATGGCTATAATCACTAAACCATCACAGCTAAAGTATTTTGGTTTTAGCAGCCTCAAATCAATGTGTGATATCATGTATGATGCTATAATATCTTAGCATCATTAAGTAAGGGAAAACCTGACCACCAGAAACGTAAGCAGTTCATCTAAATTCAGGCAGGTTCATAACAACAATGTATTTTTAGCATGATAAACTCTAAACGGAATCTTATGTATTTTCTTACCATGCTCAACATTCTTTTTAGCGTCTACACTACCGAGCACTAAGAGCTACCAAGTATCTTCAACTGCGTTCCATTTCCTGGTATCATGCTTTAACAATACCTATACTATAAGATAGTGACCAGTAACCATTCACCATCCAAATATTGCAAAACAAATAGAAATCCTTAAGCTAGGAGTTATAAAGCATCAAAATTTGTTTATGTCACACTGGGGCAATTAAATTAAATAATGTTTTAAGGTATATTGCTTACTTTCTGTTGTTCATGTTGTTATAATTATTTGATAGAGATGGAGAGATCTTTGGTAAAGTTGAAAAATTGGATGCACCTGGGGACCTTTAAAAATATGAAAATGATAAATTAGATAAAAAGGCTGAGATATTAAAAACTATGAAAGAAAGCCAACAAATGAACAATGCACATAAACAAGCATGAAAAAGAAGTATTTTTTAAGAAGTGGGCACAGAACTAAAAACACCCAGGACATGCAGCTCTTAGAATCCATCTTTTAAACCTTGAAATGCTTCATAATACTTAGAAATTTCATATCACGGTGAAGAAATAGAACTATTAAGAAGCAAACAAAGAAACAACAACAACAAAAAAAATCACAGGCCACTGCTCTAAAAAAAAAAACCTGTCTTCAGTTTATGGAAATTTTAATAATCTTTCATTTAAACATAAATGGATGTTGAGATGAGATACAAAAATTATTAAGATACATAGTTCAAGGTTACTTGCTACTAGCAGCATGAAGCCATTTAAATAAAGTTGTCTTACTAATACTGATAGTTAAAATCCCCTCCAGGATATTATGCAGAATACTAAGTAACCTTTAAAAAGTTATTATTTTTCTTTGCCTAAAGTAACAGCATTATCGCTCATCCCCACTGTTTCAGACTGTTTTTAAATGTAAGAATACTGATTATTTTAATCACATAGACCCCCTGAAAGTCAATATGCAACTATCTTGATGTGCATTTTTCTTTTTCTGATCAAATCTTACAGATAAGCACGGAAACAGCTCTGAATACTGAAAGGAATTTGTGCACCTTCATGTTTTTGTGGGCCCCACACAACTCCAAGTGGTTGCATAAAGCTCCTGCTGTCATTGGCAAGCTTTGAAACATGTACCACCGTATTAAGAGAAGAATTCTGCATGCTCAGGATTTTTTTAAGCACCTTTCAAGAACTAAACTCTTCAAAGGAGATCAACATTTTTACACAGGAAATTTTCCCAAGTATATTTTCACATTTATTTTCAATGCTCTATTAATAAACCTTTTCCAAAAGAAAAGATGTCATGTGAAGAAAATATATTCCAACCAACATTCATAAAGCTTTCCTGTAGTTCTCCTTTATCAATCTAAATTCTCTTCTTTGAACACTACTTTCAAAGAAGTAAAATACACAGATTTCGTCCACAAGAGAGGTATAAAATTGAAGCCAGTTTTAAGTCTACTTCAATCTGAGACAAAAGTTAAATTACGCACGTTCATACATGTAATTACTTTAGAAGGTATTTGAACCGAGTCATTTTGAACTGAGATTGAACATTGCAAAACAAATTTGAAGCTTTTACATTTAAACCTAATTCAAATGCAATACAGTTTTATATTTAAGAAGTCAATGTATAACTGTTGTCTAACAAATGGAAAGAAATCAGAGTAGGTACATAAAGGTCTGGTTTTGACCTAACAATAAGTTCATTTGTTTCTTAGAGAACATTTCCTACTCTGAGGTGTGCAGCCTTTCTGCTTGTTTAAGGCTGTTTACACTGTTAAATCCTGTGCATAGGGAAGAACAGAATTCATCCGTAGCTCTTACAGTTTTCAACACATTTCAATACTTGTGGGAAAACTTCGTAACATTGGCAGAAATCCCCCCCCCCCCATCATTTAAAACAAACAAACAATATGAAAACAAGGATAATAAACCCTAAACAGATAGTAATACAGGGAGCGCATGAAGTTCAGTCAAAGGGAATGCAAAGGCCTGCACCTGGTGAAGAACAACCCCAGGCACCACTATGCACTGGGGTGTAAAGGCCAGTGACCAGATGGAAAGCAAATTGAGAGAGGAGCACCAGGGGTCCTCCTGGACAAAAAGCAGAACAGGAGCCAGCAATGTGCCCTTGTGGCAAAGGCAGCCAACAACCTCCTGGGCTGCACTGAGCAGAGTATTGCCAGCAGGTCAAGAGGGGTGACCCTTCCCCTCCACTCCGGAGACACCCCTGGAATGCTGTGCTTAGTGCTGGGCTCCCCAGTACCAGAGAGACAGGGACATACTGGAGCAAGTCCAGTGAGAAGCCAGGAATGTGGCCTCAAATCTGACAGCATCTGACCTATGGAGAGGCTCAGAGAGCTGGGACTGTTCTGCCTCGAGAAGAGAAGGACCCAGAATAAACTTCTCAATCTGCATAAATAGCCAGTGGGAGGGAACAAAGAAAATGGAGCAAGCCCCTTCTCAGTGGTGCCCACCGTAAGGAGAAGAGCCAATGGGCACAAACTGAAGCACAGGCAATTCTAGTTAACTGCAAGAAATTTTGTTTTTACGGTGAGGGCTATCAAAACAGTGGAACAGGTTTTCCAGGGAGGCTGTGGAGCCTTCATCCTTGGAGTTGGTCATTACCTAACTGGGCAAAGATGCAAGAAACGTGCCCTAGCTGACCGTTCTTTGAGCAAGAGACTGGAGTAGACAATCTCCAGGGGTGCCTTCCAACTGCAATGATTCTGTGATTCTGTGAAAAGCTTAGCTGACTTTCTGAAATGATCCTGCCCTTTTCAAGCATTATATACCTTCCATCCTTTCCAATGTTCTATATTTGACCTTTCTAAATATGGCATTTTATTCCCTGGCCTCAGAATTTATGTTTACAATTTCTACTTTTCTAAAGCACTACAAAAAAGTAGCCTCAGCGGGATGTAGTGCGAGACAAGGGTGTGACCGATGACACGACTGTAGGAAGGTACCTCCGTACGTACACTATTTGTGATGACAAACTAATGCACCTCACACAGAAGACCCCAAATCAAGTGTTTAATATTTCTACCCTTTTAAATATTTATTATTTTTTTTCATAAAGTTTTAAACAGGTGTAAAAACCTGTCACTATTACTGTGTGTTGATAGTTTCTATTTGAATCCACTGACCTTTGCAAACCTTCCACTACTATAGTGCATCTGAATACCAAATTTCAGTCAAACTTTCTGATAGCTGCCAAACCTCACAAACATACCCCAGCTTCACACTGAAAATATACATCCTCATTTTCTGCTTTACTTACAGCCTCCTCTGACACCAGTATCTGCAATTACCATTTTACTTGTCCCTAGATCAAAAGACTTCCAGGAGACATTCTTTAATTTATATACTGCTTCTGATTGCCTACCATTCCAACTGGAATGGAAATATGGCAGAATAAAAGCAGGTACCATCACCGAGAACACCTTCCTACCAAAACTTCCAAAAAAACCCACGACATTCGATTATCTAAATTCTTTTAATCTTCAAACTCTACATCTAAAATTTGACTCCAAGTTTACATTTCTGCTAGATGCTTTTGAGGTGAGAGATTAAACTACAAGTATTTTGCATCCCATTCTTCCTGCTGCTTTACATTCCCAATGTTTTGTTTCATAACATCTTGCTAAGCAAAACTGAACTCAGACTTCATTAAGCAACTTAATAGAAGTTAGTGTTTCTAATAAAAATGGTTGAGATAAAACACCGAGGATAAAGAATCTCTGTCCTTCAAATGATAAGCAGTAATGCTATAAAAATGCTTGATAACCACTATGAACCTTAATTACATGAATGCAGAATATAAAAAGGAATACGGAACTTAACCTTTAGTGAAAAATATGCTCAAGAGCCAGCCAACAAAGGGAAAAAAACCACAATTAACTATTTGGGCTGAGATCATGTCAGTTTTCTAATAACTAGTCATAGCTATTACTGGAAACCAATAGAACATGATACAGATCCTGAAAACAACATTAAAAAAGCTTTGGAGAAACCACACTCAAGTCTTTCTACCCACTTGCCATACCAAGGTATTACTGATAACGGTAGCAGGCAGACCAGAAAGGAAAAAACCACGTTGTACTGTGTTAACTGATGACAGCTCAACAAAGAACAAAAGCAACATGCTGGTAATGTACACTGCAATTTAAATAATATTTATATGTAAATATTGGCTCTGAAGATAAAAGGACAAGCTACCCATGAGAACACTCAGAAGAAAAATCATAAATATATACACCTGCATTAATTTTAAAGAAATAGAAGTAAGTTTTACAGTTTTCTACTATGAACCTTTATTCTGTTTTTGAGCAGAATAATGTATATCACTGGCTGAAACCAAGAAAATTAAGCAATGTATATGCAGGAGCTCACCATGTCGTATTTTACAGTATGCAGCACTTACAACAAATACACTACTCATTATGTTTTCAGCTAAAACATCTGAAGGCCAACTTTAAAATTGCCACTTTAAAAAACAGTTGTTTTTTTAAGTAAAATAACATGAAAATAGTTAAGCTATAGTGAGTAACTGTAACTTAAAACTCTCAACTTACTTGGGAGTTGAAGGACCTCTTGGCCATGATCCATCCTCATTCTTCTGTTCTATCACCAGTACCTACCACAAAAAGTATAATAAGAAAACTGAAATATCAGGAGATTGCTTTCTGTTCCAATCTTTTTAATGGATTTCCTGACATGTGACTCAGATGGAAAAGATTGATGTTTAAGTTACTGTTCCCTGAGGTCCAAGAATATTCAATTACTCTTCCTCTTCCTCTATTCACTTTTTTCTCCCCACATCTTAATTTGTGCAACTCTGAGCAAGCCACTTAATACTTCTATGCCTCTGGAATCTATGGATATAATGTCAAGACCATACCTCTCCAAGAAGTCAGAAGACAACCTGCAATGTCTAAGCAGCATCTACGAATACATAGAAATCCCATGTTTATACAACAGCTATGTTAAGGAAGGGATATTCCTGAAGGAATTCTGCATCACACACAATACAGATCAATAGGAAAAAAACCCCATCAAAACCAAATGAAACTGCTTTCTGCCTTGATAGCCTTAAAGTCATACCTGTCTGGTTACTCCTGTATTTTTTTGCAGGAATATTCATCTAATATTAATTTTCTAATAGGACAATTGGCTAACGAAATGAACTTTGGTCAAGTTGTAACTTGTACAAAAGGGAATACAGAACATGCAGTCCTAAACACAGGCATCAACTGCCATTTGAAACGCCTTTGGGTATTTGAGGTATCTGCCCTATGCTGGCAGATATGACACAGGACCTACAAAAAGCTCATGCCTTTCTGGATTGACAGCTGGCATAGACAGCTCATTTGAAATAGCAATTAAAACTCAGTGTTTAAACAGAATCTAACTCTAAATTTCCAATGCAACTAATTCTGCATAACTATACACTGATGTGTCAAGATGCTAATTAACCGTCATACTGTACTTGTAATGAGTCTATACAGTGACCTACATTCACATAGGTGCTTATGCCCAAAACCTTATACATAAGTCATGCTGCCACTTGAAGATATAAGCACATTTTCAGTCTGAACATACTAAGACATCACACTGAAAATTAGCTTTCTCTCTGGAAAAGAGTAGTCTGATGTCTTTGGTCATGAACGCTGCTGTAAAGGCACACTCTGCCATATTTCCCCCCACCAGCTCTCAGAAACTACTAAATAAAAGGAAGATTTAGACTTAAAAGTTCAATGGAACCCCTAAAGGCTCACTTCAGAAACCAACTGGTAAATTTAGAACATTAAATTACTCAACTGCACACATAGTTTAGAATTACACAGTAGAAGAACAACTACTAGGTTAGATGGACTTTAATAGTCAGAATAACTATTATTAGATTAGGAGGCTCGCAAGAAAAATAACAAACTTGTGTGTCAGTAAGCGCACCTGACACATGGTCTATCACATGTAGCATTTTCAGAAACCATGGTTAAACTTGGTTTTGAGCAATATTTGTTTTTCTGAAAGTACAGATGTCACCTAGAGATCTTTTTATAGCTATATGAGACCATGCTTGCTTCAAGGTTAATGTTTCACTGGGATAGAAGCAATTTGCAAGTTACATCTTTGACACAAATGGGAGATAGGAGCTCTTTCAGGAGGATCTCTGCATTGTTAAAATCACCTGAGTGCATGCAGCATGAAGCTAAAGGGCACAATAGCTCAAGCTGTTATTTTGGTTCACTGATTACTTACCTTTAATGCCATAAAAGAAAACAGAAGCACAGCATAAATACAGCTGTAAGCAGGTTAGAGTCAAGTATTTCAACACAAAAGGAAATACTCTTAATACAATCTTGCCTACAATTGCTACCAATGAGTTTCATGTATTCATGTTTGTAGCATGACAGCATGAACTACAGCTGTTGAAAAAATACCCAATTCTATTTGAAGACAAAGAACCAAAGTAATAATCTGAAAAGTTATTCCAATGATGCAATTGTTCAGGCAGTTCATGTTTCTGTTTCTGTAGCTTTAACATCCAGTATTTGTTCTTTACATTAATCAGAAAAGGTAGAAAAAGTATCTTGTAAGAAAATCTCCCAGAAAGGGATTTTAAAGTGATGATAGAGCCTCATGCTAAAGCAGGTTTTCAGGCTTTTTTGTCTCCATATCTCTACCTGAAGACTTTTCACTTTTTCTTAAATTCTAAAATCTGGACAGTGAAAAGTTGAGTAGAAGACATTATTCTTCTACAGTACCTAAAAAGTTCTTCAAATTTTGGGTTTAATTTTAGGAACATATTCCAGATCATAGGAGTATTTATTTTTTTCTTATTTCAGGTTTTGCCAAACTCCAAGTCAGAAGCATTACATTCATTTATTTTTAATTCACCAGGAGAGTTAAACTCATCTTTAATCACAAAAATACACTCAAAGACTACTTCTATTTTGGTGAACCTGTTTATAAAATCCTCTATCCCTAACCAATCTAATAGGAGGCAATTTTCATTTAAAAAGAAGGAAAATTCATGGGGTACAGTTACATTTTCATGATAAGGAAAACCAAAGACAACATATAAAAAGTATTGTACTGTACCTGTCCCTGGTATAAGCCAGCATCCTGTATGGTACTGTCTGGTTTATTCAAAGGTTCAAAAGTGTTACTCATGTATTTGTTCCACAATCTGGTCTCTTTTTCACTTGGAATATTGAAGATTTTTCTTATCTCTTTTTCGATTGTATCTGTTTTGAAAGGGAAAGAACACAAGTTTAGCATTTCACTATGCAAACAGTGTAAAGAATAATAAAAATAAAGCATCAGAATCACCTATCTTTTCTTACATTTAAAATAAAATATTAATGAAAATGTAGAAACGGCCATGCAACTACACCATGTTGTAGTTCAAGCAAGAAGTTGCTAGTTCCCTTGCCTTTAAAATATAAACAGCCAGAGCATTAATTTATTCCTTCCTGAACCTCTTAGCAAAGCAGACCAAATGACGACAAGTTGATAAGAACAGGTACAGGAGGTACCCATCTACTAATTTCCCAGAGTGTGGTAACACAGGAGTGTGGATGGGTGAGAACGGCAGCAAAACCAGGTGCAGGGAGTGCAATTCATTCGGTTTGTCTCTCTAAATCAAACTGGTTTTGGTTTTCACTCTTCTGCTACACATATCCCAGTGCAATCGGCACTAACCAAAATCTATAAGCACAAAGTTTAATGTACATGCTTACAGAAATGAATGACCACTTTGTAAAACTGGAGTGCATAAATTTACATTAAAAGGATCATGTAAGATTTTATGCTCCTGAAAGTTTTAACATAAAAAGGTCTACCAGCTTGTACACTACTTGACAGAAAAAAATGTTACAAAATTTTAAGGTAGCATAACTACTGTCTACACCTGACATGTAAGAAGTTCATAATCAACTCCATTCTCCTTATACAAAAATAGAGTTTATTAAAGAGTTCTTTAATTTGATCTAATATGTACAGTGCTACACCATAGCAACCTTAGGTATGGGGGTTTTTCTTTAACTGGTATACTCACAAAGGCCCATGGCAGCCAAGTCTCATAGCAGTTAACACAAAAAACAAAACAGCAGTGAAGAAATGTACTGTTTATTCCTGATGATCACTGAAGACACAATTCAAAAAATGAGCACTGGAAGCTCTTTGAGAGATGATCCCCTGAAATCTCAGGATAAAACACCAGTGTGTCATCTCCTCTAGCATTCCCTTTTACTTAAGACCATTATTTTCTCTTCTGCTATGTTAAATATGAAAAGTCAAAATGAGACCTGAAGCTTGAAATGTACTTCATCAAAATCCAGCCGTTGGCTTGTGAAATGCATTACAACTGGCCAATATAAAATTTGTAGATACTGTAGGCAACTGTACACAATTTCTTTCTATCCTACTTAACACACATCTTAGTATGAAACCAAGAGTTAGACTGGATCATCTGCTTTTCGAAAAGAGACGATACATAGGCAAGGTAGGTGCCATCAACAGTGCAACAGGCTGTTACCTGATTTATTGACTTTAAAAATAAACTAAAAAAATCATGTACTGATTCAATTCTGAGCCAATGATTTCAAGTAACTGTATCTGAATGTAAGAACGAAGCTAGTCAGCAACATTCTAAAAAGAAAATAAAAACCAGATTTAGCAATGGCTTTCACTAAACAAATATACAAAATAATTTTTCTAATATCATAACTAATTATTTGCATATTGCAGCTCATATTCTTTGCAAGTACTAAGTTTTAACATATTCCAGCTTCACCAACAGGACTGCTATGAGACAGGAAGCATCAATGCTATTAGATGAGTACACAATATTTCCAGGAGTCTGGGAACAGCAACTTGACTATTATGGTAATTTTGAGACTGTGAAACTAAGGTTCTTTTACATACCTACATGAATGTAAGCAATGCACACTTTATGATTCTCCCCCCCTCAAGAATCACTGAAGAGCTCGTGTTCTGGCTTATGATCTAAAGCGAACATATCTGTTCCAGTACGAATGAAAACTCTACATTCAAACAGGCATGGTCTGAGGCATATTGTGTACAGGGTCCTCATCTAGTAGTGCTATTTACACCCCATATATGTTATGAATAGTACTATGATGACATCTAAAAAAGATGGGAAGAACTGCCCTTTAAAAATGCCTCTCACTCCATCAGCTGTATAGCCACAATTTCAGACAGCTCAAATTGAGAGTTAAAGGTTATGGATCCCATGCAAGATGTATCCTATATTGTTAAAAATTAGATGGCTCCTCAAAAAAAAAAACAAAACCCAACCCCACCTCCAAAAAAAACCCAAACAAAACCCAACCAACCAACCAACCAAAAGAAACCAGCTGCGCGATTAAAGTACTATTTTGCAAGACTTTTGACCATTGTGGAAGACTCTTGACAAGATGATGGAGAAATCCAGTGAATGCTAATAGAAATACACCCTGGCTTCCCTTAGGATGAGTGCTACCACAAGTACTGGCTAAAGGAAACTGTAGTAACATATTAATCTGTACTATGAAATAGTAATCCCAGCTTCCTGAAGAAGGGAAAGGCTAGTCACAGACCCCAGGACAAATTGTCCCTCAAGGGTGGCAAGTTTTGCATTCTTGTATTGTGCAGCAAATAAAAGGGAAAGATGAATCAAAGCCATTTGTCAAGATAATTTACTAGCAAAAGTCCATTAGATGCAGAACTACTGCTGTCATCTCCTACAAAGTTTACCAGCTCAGTTTTGGAACTGTTTTGTGACATGGCAGACACAACCTGATCCCTACTCATCCATAACAGAGGCTACAGACGGTTCTGTAATCTTGTGAAACTCTTGAACAGAGACAGAAAATGCCTACACACATTTTCTAATGACTTTGTTTTATCATACTGTGATATATCTAATATACCTGAATGGATCATTAACTCATTTTCACTCAAAAGCCCTGATCCTAGAAAGATCAAACACAAAACCTAGATTGAAATGCTGCCTGCACTACATCTAGCTTATTTTCTTTTAAGAATTAAACACTTCACCCCTGCCCCAAAAGTTAGCCATCAGTCTCCAAGTTAATATGCACTGCCTTCAAGGTGAGAGTTGATTGTAGGAGAGTCCCAAGAACACACCTGATGTGTCTAGTACTACCCCAAGAAAATGACTGTCTTTATTAAGTCTGTTCTTTAGAATTACTTTTTCCTATCTTGTACTAACTTATTGACATACAGCTTAACTTAGTTCCCATTTGAGTGGAAAAACAGAAGTATTCCTTGAAGACCAGTAGGTAAATATCATATTGTGCTTACAATATTAAGGTGCTCCAAATTTTTTTCTGTTTACCTAAATTAAGGAAGGTGTCATACTGATCCTTTGATGGCACTAAATAACTTAATCAGTGATGGTGGGTAGAAAAATTAAAACTTATTGAAAAGACCATAGTACCATATATGTCCACTCACTTCAGTGGGGCTGATACTGACTGTTATGTACAAGTCTTCTGCAACCATAACAAAAATGCATCCCTTACTGGCATATACAAGGAAGGCTGAAAAATAATCAAGATTCTGCAAGATTCCTCTTGCACATTATTTATTGATCTAATGAGCATCTCTGCTACATATTGATGAATTCCAGAACTACCTTAAATATACTTGAGGTAAGGACAGCAGTGGGGAGGACGAATCCCAGTTTTACCAATGGATAACAGGAAAAAAAAAAATAATCAGAGAACAGTTATTTTTTTTACTCTTAAAAGTGATTTTAGTCTTTCTAGCTCTTCTTCTAAGATAAGATAGAATGGCCCTGCTTAGTACTCTGCATAAGCAGTTTCAGCTCCAGAAAGGGGCTTCCAAGAGCATATCATTCATATGTCATGAAAGCAAGTAAGGCCAGTGTCAGTAAAGGGGCTGCCAGGGACCCTGACTCTTCCTCATTACAATTTATGACAAATTTCTTGTAATTGTAATTCTCTCTCTGCTAAGAAAACAGTAACAGTCATTCCAAACTGCCCTACTTCTGATTAGAGAAAGAAAATATCAGAAATTAACCAATTACCTATAACTCCAATGATACAGTTAAATTCACTATAGCTGCAAAATAGCTTGTATTTAGTCTTCAGGAAGGGATAATGTTAATTTTTTTTTTTCCAAGTTTCTGAGTTTGCTTAGAGAATACTGAAGTACAACTTCCCAAGTTCAACCAGATCTTGAAAACGCCAATTAACATACACCACCAAAGCCTTGTTTCAAGGACAGACTTCATAATTTTGAAGTTTTTATTCTAATACAAGCAGATGATTATAAAGTAAATGACTGTGTTTTAAAAGCAATCAAAATCTGCAAAGAATTAGAAGGCAGCAATTTTAAGTCACTACAAATAATGTAAAGAGAAGTGAAATCTGAAAGAACACTGCTGTTGTCAAAGAATGTAAACAAAGAGTTATGGCTGGCCATAAAGTGCCAAGGACATAAAGTACAGTTCTAACTGCACAAATACAGTTGATTGAAAGGCTCTTATCTCACATACACATAACAAATACACCAAAAATGGAGCTTATATGATCAGTAATATCTTTGCATATATTCTGGCTGTTACTTTCAGAGACAAATGTTACCAAAATATGGTTTCAAACAATGACTCAAAGAGCAGCCACAGTAACTACAAATACAGGTATATTAAAGGTTTAGTACAGGACTCAGTTACTGTAAAAGATTGTGCCTGGCCTGCCACTGCACAACCCAAGGAATACTGCCTTTGTAGGTCACCTATAGCCATTAATTTATAAATTCAACTAATCATTGTCTTTTGTAATATACCCTCCTCTTATTATATGACTAAAGAGGCTTGGCTAAAGAAAGACACTAATAGCAACACATGGGAAAAAAATACACTTCTTGCACACCAAAAGCCAAGAAAAACTACTACAGAAGCCAATAAAATAAACAGAAACATCACACTTCCTGAAAATCACAAACTTCTACTAACGCAGAACCCTAGATAAAACTTCACAATTAAATATTTTTTAAAAAATTGTATTAAAAATCCTAAATATTCCAAACTATTTCACTTTAATTTTTAACCCAAAGTTAGCCCCATCCTTTTTAATGGTTACAATACCCATCTGTCATTTCACCTAGAGACCTGTTTATTCAGAACTTGCTACCAAGTACTATTTAAACAAGTAACAATCGTGTATTTTAAAAAATAGTTTGCATACCTATTGTATCAGCTTTACTAAATCTTCGTGTGACAACATTGTTCATATTTCCATTTTCACAAAGCTTTAATTCAGTTAGATATACTTCTACTTTGCAGTGCTTTACAAACATACCCTGTTCAACGACCTGAAAAACAGATTGGGATCAGGTGTCAGTCCAAACACGTTTTCATACACACACTTTTAAATACTTTTGAGAACTCTTCAAGAAATTGAAGTTCTGGGAATGTAAGAAACTTAATAAACATAAAAAATTAGAATTAAAATTATTTTATAATTTTTTAGAAATACAGCAAACTAAAAAGTAAATTTTTTGCATGATTATGTTGTCTTACCTGTGTATAACACCACCACGACTTTCAATGTTTTAAGAACAGTGGGAATCACAAATATGCATGCTTACCCAAAAGATAAAACCCACCAAATGTTATTTTTATTTCAAAATATATTCGTTGCATGCCACTTGCTCAAAACATGACGAACTAGTTTTCACAGTTAAAGAATACGTATAAAAACAATACAAGCTAATAAAACCAGGATATCACATTTTTAAATAAACCCTACAAATATTTTAAATAAAACCTACAAATATACATTCTGATAATATATTAATCTGAAATTTCACCTACTCATTACAGGGTTTTCCGTTCTTTACTGTAACCCATTAAAAATAGTTAAGTATAAATGTTTTGTTGTTAGTTTTTTTTGTTTTTAATAAAAGTAAAATGCAGAAAAAAATATTCAGGGTCACCTCTTAAATGTTTTTCCCTTTGATCTTCCAAAGTGTAACTGCAGTACTTAGTCATGTAGACTGTTCCAAAAATAACCATTGCCCATTGCCCTGATATGTGATACATCTGACAAATACGGTAATAAAAAAAAAAAGCCACCAGCTAACTGCTGGGAGAGATCCGTATAAATATAACTCGTATGCATGTGCCATAGGAAAAAGAAAAATATCAGGGAATGATTTCATTGCTGCTCGGTAGTTTGCTTTAGCTGTAATGAGTGCCAACCATGATATTTAAATAAAAATGCACCTTCATCTGAGCAGCTTAGTAGGGTTTCTACCTAGTGTAGTAACAACAAAACAGTTGCTGTCAACAAAACTGTGCGGTATGGCTAAGGCATCTCTGAGAATAAAACTGACACTCTAGCGGCAGTATTGCTACATTCTGTTTCGTAAAGTTATGATGTCATTTCACATGGGTCAAGTAAAACAATAAATCAATTTAAAATTTGGATCTAAATTTCAAAAAAAGTTGATGTAACCAAAGGAATGAAAAATAAGTGTCATCCCACCTCTACGAAAAAACACTAACACAGACAGGAGAAAGATCCATGGACAACTGACAAAAGTATCAGAAAGAAAAGTTCTGAACTGGAATACCCATCTCTGAGAGCTACTGTTCATACTGGCAGAAAACAATGAAGCCATGCCAGTTTACATGGCCGCTCATTACACTCCAGGTGTTTTTCCAGTTAGTTCTTTCCACATAGAAGGCAACTTTACTGTAATTTCCCTTCTCTCTCCCTATATTTCACCCCCAAAGTGAAAAAAATGACAGAAGTTTTACTTCACCATGATGAGGGAAGAGCATTCAGTTTGCTGAAATCCCTCTTCAGGAAAAACAGTAACAAGTTGAGAACATGTATCTTCAAAGAAGCAAAGCCATTTTAACAGATTTCACCTCTTACAGAACTAGAGAAAGAGACACTCCACAGATGTCTCTTAAACAAACAAACAAAAAAAAAATAAAATACCCTCTTTTATTGTGTTAAAAAGAATGTTAAAAGCTACTTCTATTGCTGCCCAAATGAATCCTGAAGACAGCAAATTTCTTCTATAACTAAATCTGGCATTTGTTTGAAAACAACGGACTTCAAGTAAGAGGCCAGCATGCATGCAGCCAGACCATAATCATGTAATAGAAGAAAAAGTTACATTATACCAGAAGTCATATCAAACTAAACTGTAATCATATTACTTCAGCAGTTCTTCAGGAATTAAAAAAAAACAAAACAAAACCAAACCACCGCAAGTGTCCTAATGGTAAATTCAGAAGTTGCGAACATAGCAAAATGTATTTTAAAACTTACACAGTTCACTACAGTGAGGATGTAACTGTAGTCCCTAGCCTGAAAATCTTAAGAAATAATACTAGCAAAAAAGACTGTATGACCAATAAACTGGTAAAATGTCACATCACCTTAATAAGAAGGATAGTATGTCCTCCATGTTAATTTTTAAGTATATCATACTAATGGAGGGTCACAGTACTGACAATGCCATGGACTGCTACCTGTGCTGAGGTAAGCTTTCTACTTAAAGAAAAAATCCCTTAGCAATCTGTTGAGCACAGAAGACTTTGCTTACCAGAAAAAGAACTACCAATTACTCTGCCAGAGTTAACATCATTAGAGCTAGGCTCTTCACTAATACAGTCAATACAGTTTTAGGGTTTTATACCCAATTACAAAATCACTTGCACTAATAGACTTTAAAGCCCCTAATGCAAGTTCTTGAAATTTTAGAGTTTACTTCCAGAGGAAAAAAAAGTTATATCCTTTTGATCCTTGTTTCTTAATACTAACAAAAACTAGGTATCTATAAGCAAGTAAAGCAGGAGTTGTCTATATGATTATCATAGGCCAGGACTTACAATCTTCTAATAAATTCATGTGCAGCACCTGCATATTTACAGGACTTAATCCGAATCATGTTCAGCCCACTAGGTTATTTAAGAGTACCTTGCGTGCTATTGGCTCTTGACCTTCCATCAGTGTGTACCAGCTAACTAGCCTATTCCAGCCTTCAGTTGGCAGAAGGATGTAGTCCAGCTCATCAATGAGATGTTCCTTGAGAGACTGAGAATCACCATCTAAAAGAGAAAGATATTTTACTTGCATATTGTAATTCTGTTGCATTCTTAATGTATCATACATTAAACAGATGTATTTTCTGAGTCAGTTATATTCCCAGTATTACAGTATTCAAAGCAAAAGTCTTCTCAAACTAGGCAAACTACTCACTTCCTGCATAGCACACCTATTATAGGTAGTATTCCTACACTCAGGAATCCAAGTGACAACTCCATATCCTCATGCTAAGTGCCTAATTTGTTATCGCACACCATCATAGCCTTAGAGAAACCAATCCATTTCTCCACCCACTTCACACATAATCCCACATCACCATGGATACTTCCATTTCATGCTACAGTTGCATCCTTCACTGAAAATGCAGAAATGGGTAGTTACAGTAGATCAAAGACAAAGTTTGAAGTCATTCATTCCATATCAGGCTGGGAAAATAACATGGCACAATCCTCCTACTTAAAGGATTCTACGTGCTCTGGAAACACAGTCCTCATAAAATTCTTCATGGGGACAGCAAGATGCAGCATTTGAAAAAAGTACAACTTGGCAACCTCTTAAGTAGCATGCTTTTCGTTTTCATTCAACCCTTATTACAGCATTAAGACAGCAACTACTCTATATGTGTAAAATATAATTCCAGATCCGAGCCACTGCTAGCCTCAGACAATTTAGGGCAGTTGTCTTTTCATTTGGAAGTACCCAGCAACAGGCCAGCAAGCACACATTACAACCAGAAGCAAAACATGGGGAAAAGTTCACAAACACATCTTAGGCAACTTTTTAAACGGTTTATCCTGTATTTCTGCGCTGATCCGACAGTGCTACAGTTTATAGTGAGATCTAATCTGGATTCTATTACATCTTTCTAAACCCCCAACATTGCTCCTAGCGTAGTTTTTTTCAGAACTTTATTCCATCAAAGTACCCTGACTCATTCTCTCATATTCAACACTGTTGAACAATCAGCTATTTTAACTACTTGCTTGTACTTGCTTTGCTAATCTAAAGTCGACTATGTATCTCTTCTTTTGAAGATGGCATGTCTGTATTCTACTACATTTAACAACTTTTTTTTTGCAAATGTTAAGATTTACTGAGAATCTCTACCTGTTACTTTTCACTGCTCCCAATTCATCCAAATGTTCTGGAAATAAGAGAGCAGCATTTAAGTTATACAGGCACAATATTAATTCAGTTTCCTGGAATCAGTATTTCTTGGATTTAAGAATAGTTTTCCTTATCATTCCATTACACTTCAGAACATCTGAGAAAGCATGCCCATTTCATTCTTTAAACCAGAAGCAGATTTTCAGGCTTTACACTTAAGGAGGACAGCATGAGAGTAACTAGTGCATACTACATGTCAAAGACAGGATTAAAACTGAAGTTTTTTAAGGTTCAATTACTGCTACGTAGGAAACCTAGTATAGAGGACTACTACTCTGCAGTTGAAGGAGACAGCTACTATTTGCTGAGCACATATGACCTTAATTTTATAACTGCCTTCACACAGGAACAGTAGATGTCAGACAGTAGCTGGATGAACTGTACCACTGCCAATGCAGATCCATCATTTTAGAACAATGAATGAGCCAAAAGTAAAGTTCATAAACCCTGACCTTGTCTTTGTTTTGAAAGGGATATTAATAAGCAGTGTCAAAATGACAGCACACAGGTTTTCAGGAGCTTTTAGCAAAATGTCTAAAATTACCTCAAACTTAACCCTAATGTATTAGGCTTCATATCCACAGTAACATAAAACATAATCTGAGTATATATATATAGATCAAGATATAAATAATAGAGATCAATTAACACAGTACTCTGTTCTTTTAGAAATCACCCCTTTTTTTTTTTTAAGTTGGTAGACACAGAACAAAGAATAAGCTGATGCTGCCACAGTGAGGATACAACTTTCTTAACACATCTGATTGCAACTGAAGAGGATTACCTGAACATTCTTGCCCCACTGCAAGATTTACTGCAAGAATGTACAAAATATCTAGATCCTCACATTTCAGAAAACAAAACACATCACTCACCTGGAGCAAAAAGACCTTTAATGTCATGGACGGAAGAGAACATGCATATGACAATACACACCTTCTTTGAAGGCAATGATACTAGTCACTGTCAGATATGCACACTCACACTGACAACTAGTCCAACATGGTATGATAAGTCCTATGAAAGAGGCAATTACCTTTAACATTTAACTTGTAAAATAATGAGATATTAATTACAGTTGAGAAGTTTTGAATGAAGAAAGTCAGAGTTCATCATAAACTCCATAAGCTATAAAATTTCTTATTACTAGGTGCAAACAGATTGCGCAGTACTATTATATTACCTTTAACTGCAAAGAGGGAAACCAATTACCTGCTAGATTTTGTATCTACTGAATTTTGCAGATTAAATGTTAATAGCTCCATGGTATTTCAATACTGGATATTAAATATGCAATTTGACCTAAAGATTAAAATATCTGGGAAAGTATTCCAAGACCTGTGTCTACAAATCTGAGTACAGTTCAGCAAAAGTCAGTCCAACCCGAATAATCATATCAGCAACAGAGTTTAACCATACTTAGAAGACCGTAAAATTAGAAAATTATCCTCTATCATTTCATACCACTTTATATTATCACTGAACTGCATAATACTACTTCTTCAAATGTTCCAGATTCAGAGTAAGGGCTTGGGGCTCATTTACAAAAAGAAATTTTAGAGTTCAACTTAAAAATGTTATCTTAAATCAACCAATCTAGTTAAGCTAAAAAAAAAACCCACCAAAGAAAACAAAATCCCAAACAAACCAAAACCACACTTACTGAACTCAGGCTGTCTACTTAACTAAATTTCAACTCCCAAAGTATCCCAAAATATTATAAGCTAGTACTTTGTACATTATTAAATATTGTTACCATTGCAAAGAAGTTCCAATAATTTCATTTATGAAATTGTGATTTGTTAGGGGAATCTATTCCAGTTCATGGTCTCAAAAAACCAAAAAATTTCACTTTCATATATACTGAGACTCATTTACACTATCAAGTACAAACGATGAATAATCTGTGACAAATGTGCACTAATATTTAGTGTTGGCTTATTACACAATCGGATGCAGTTACCTTTGAGAAGTCCAGAATTATCAATAGGACCAGGGTACACATTCTGATCTCCCATCTGGTATTTGTCCCAGCTGTCAAAACCAACATATTTTTTCCACTGTTTGAACCAGCGACTATCCACTAGATACCTTAAATGGAAGAAGACACATGAGTTAGTTACTGGCACGTTACCACTTCCTACATTACCAATTAATTCATGTGAATGCACCTGTATTCATCAGTTTTGCAAAATGGCAAATGTTTTTCTGTCTGGTCTGCATTACCATCATCTCCTACCAACATGCGCTTTAACTGTGGGCAATTAAAGATCCCACTAATCACAGTAGGCCAAGTACAGTTTTGCAAGACTGCCAATACAGCATATCAGAATTTGAACAACGTTAAGTTAAAAAAAATATTTCCCTTTTTAACATGAAATAATATCAGTTTTAATTCCTGTCCTCAATTTGTGAATTCAGGAGATTCAAGTTAAGCTTATAATTAGACAGCACTTTAAAAAATGAGAGATAACTTTTAATAAAGCATTTTTTCCTGACAGAGTTTTATTTATAACATCCACATGCAAGCAAAAAAACTTCAGAACTCTGATGTCCTGTCAAGATACAGAAAGTGTGGTTTTCTTCCTTTGAGTCAGCATCAACACATACAGTAAATGCTCTGCTTTTGAGG